CCGAGGAAGAGAAAATAAGAAAGTGATGGACACTTTGGTCAGAGAGAGACAGGGTTACCAGGATTACCTTGTATATGCCTATCTACATATTCCCATATGTGCATAGATACTCGAAGGAGCAGTATATCCGTATGGATACACATACTAAAGGCAAGTACACACTTTGCGTACAAATTCGATCTCGCTAAAGAGAATTGCACAGTGTGCGTGTCAAGGTCAGACACATTTTCCGACAGGGGGACTCGAACGTTCTCTTATTTTCTATAACTTTGTTCTCTCTCTCTTTCTCCTCTTCGTCCAGTGCATTGAATTCTTTGGCTGAGCCCTGCGAGCTGCCACGTGACCAGGCTGGCAACGAAAGGTGAAAGATCACACGACTTTATCGGCAAGGCGCATCGTGCATTTTCAATGCACCTGTATGCAGATTTTCAAAGTCATTCGAAAGGAAATGCAATAGTCGATCCAAGGCGTCCATAAGCCAGGGTAACAGGAGGTAAGAGGAGGTTAAAGTGCAGCACGTTGCGGAAATCCACGTTGTGCAGGCTGGAATTGAGTATAGACATACGCATAGGTATAGTATAGTAAAAGACAAGCGACACTGTATAATGACTAACGATGAAAATAATAATGATTCCAGGTCTGCAGTGCAACAGACTAAGGATATTCACCGAGGCGAAGTAACAACGGGGATATGAATGAATACGTTGTGTACACATGTGACAGTCTACGGATCTCTCCTAGTCAATTCTGAAGCTTGACTTGGTTCTCAGAATGCTGTGTAGAAAAAATATATAAAAAAAAAGAGTGATGAGTTATGCCACGCACGATTGGAATATCTAAATAGTATTTATGAGATTGGCAATTAATATGTAATTTAATGATATTTTCAATCACGTTACTTCAACGCTCACAATGACACGGTGAAATTATTTATTGAGACAGATGTGAAAATCAGTATCTTAGGAACCGTAATGATTTATTTCTATCTATATATGCCATTATACACGTAAGAATCCTGGGTGCGCCTATTGTACGATGGTTGGACGATGGCGGCCAACTTGGTTCGCATTTGATTACAAGACGGGTGAACGCGAGAGGCAGAACTCTGGCTGTAGGCAGAGAGCGGCTGCAGCGAGCATTAACATGGAACGGAATGGAATGGAACGGAACGGAATGGAATGGAATGGCCAGGAGTGTTACAAAATATCAGCTTTCACCATATCAGCACTATGTAGTACCTACGTAGGTATAGAGTTATAGACTGTATAGCTTAGAGACATTGTGGCATGCCTGCTCGTGAGTTAACACGGCTAACGCAGGTCGAATCTATTCCGAGTCTTTGACTAACGAAGTCAGGTGTTACCAAGGAGATATAGAATTGGCGGATGGGCTTATTGGAGTTTCGGTGATTATATTGAGATATTGAAATGAAAATTCTCTGTCTTAACGCGTAACGGTTATCTCGTCTCTGGCGTGTCTCTGACGTACCGTTAGGCTCTGCTTACGGGGCTTCAAAGTTGTACACTGGGAAAATGATAAACGCGTTAACTTCAACGAATTACCGTAATGCAGCTAATTAATGTCGCGGTACAGTTTATCGTCGTTTATTCAAAAACCGGTGGTACGGTCTCGTTATGGACTTTCGAGAAATTACAAGTTCTGTTTTTTTCTTCGTTTTTTTTTTTTTCTTACCTAGAATCCCATGGACTTTATACGTCGTCGCGAATACACGCCCACGTGCAAGAGTCTCGGCAGGATGGAAAACAAGGTGGCCGAGGAGCGGTCGAGGAGAAAGATTATGTTCTAAAGAAATTTGCACTAGCAATAAGCACCGGCTTACGGGTGGTTAATGTCGCCAGTATTACATAAGCTACAAGACGTTACGAAGTATTGCAAAAATTTGATCAACCGCAGAATTCATCCGATAAAGGAAATTTTTTTAAATTTCAAATTTTTCTTAACTCCAAAATTAAGTACGTTTTAATTTTTTATTTAATTTTAAATTCACGGGTTTAAAATTTTACTTGAGGCTCTTTTGAGATTTTACATTAATTCACTTTGCCCTCTTCTCAGGTACCCACGGGCATTAATCTCAATCAAGGTGCGACCGCACAGAGAACGAGTCTTTCGCGGAATCGATACCTCGTGTCTTTACTCGTTTTATGTTATTTTATTTTCTTTCGTCTCTGCGAAACTCGCGTCGAGGCGCGAAGAATTCCCTTCATTTTTTTTTTCCTCTCTTCTCGACCGTGTACGTTTCTGGTCAGGCGACTGGTATAGAATTTTTGTCGCGAGTCCGGCTTCGATCGTTTTATTAATTTATTTACTTGGTTTTTTTTTTTTTTTCTTTACTTATTTTCTCTTATCTTCCATGGGAAATGTCGAAAACACGATAGACACTTTATATATGTATACCGTTCGCGATCGACGCGGAGAAAGTTGACGGATTTTACGTCAACGTTTTTTCACGTTTCTTATTCCACTTTCCGTCCCTCCTCTCTTCCATCTTTCATTCGAAAACTCAGTGCTAATCGTAGTCACTACAGCTTACCTTTTTACCACGGTTATTCAACCCTCGGACGTTCACGTGGAGGTCCACGTGAGCGCGAGACCTCAGAGCCGCTATTGAAAGTGGAATTTTCATTTTTTATCTCTTTCCCCCCTTTATTCCTCTATTTATCTCTGTCACTCTCTTTCTCTCGCAATCGAATAATCGTTACGCTTTGGTATTTATAACGAGAGTTTCCAGCGCCGCTGAGTAATCACTCAAGCATTCTACTTATGCACAATCGCTGCTAATTAGATTTTGGCAGTCAGCATTATTACGAAAGCTAAATGCAAAGATCGTTGGAAATTGGTAACAGAATATTTAAAAAAAAAATTTTTTTAGGTTAATACAAGATTTTCCTCTTTTTTTTAATAAAAACGTATATTCCGATGGAAACTTACGTATTTTTTATTCGCAGTATATTTTTCATGCATAACCTTATCTACCTGATTGAATAAAGTTCTCAGATCTTCGTATGGCATCGGCCGATCTTCGTCAATCGAATATGGCGAGACTCCTCGTAATTACGGCGAATCGATGTAACTTTCGAGTGCGCAAGAAATCGTCAATTCACTTTTGCAATTCGTATACCCGTGGTTGAGGGTCGGTATAGGCACAGCTGATCCAAACGAGTGACTGGGAAAATTACGGTTTTCTACCTTCGTTTCCGGCGACGCTTTGCATTTCAATGACTTGCAGCAAACCGAGACAATTCCCTTTAAGAATTGGCAAATCTTCGTTGAAAGTTTTTTTCCATGTCATTGACAGCAACCGAACGATGTTTTCAATTCACTTTCGAATCAAGATTCGATCTACGAATTATTAAAAATAATTTTCTACGTTTAAGGTACACGGTAGTAATCGTCGTGACAATTTATAAGTGTTCAACTAAAAAATTTAAACCCATCTCGACGTTCGATCATACTCCTTAAGTGACGTCATCAATCATGCACAATCACCTGGAACAATTGAGCCACACGAAACTGAATCTTGAGAAAACGACAATTCAATGCCTACCGCGACCCACTTTATAAACGAACTATCCATCGTGAATACTTATCGAAAGGTTTTCTCTATACGAGAAAGCGTCCCTCGTCGAAATCGAAGTCGATATCGAATGTAGAAAAGTGAATCCGAAATTCTCTAGATATCTGCATTGCCTCTATGTAAACTGCCATCAAATTTTAATAACATGGAAAGAGACTTAGGTTACGTGTTGACAAGACGTTAAGATCCTACGATCGCGTAAAAATATCGAGAATTGAAATTGAGAATTAGAAAAAAAAATGCAAAAATTATTGGTATCTAATAACAATTATGATTATCTGTCCCAATTTCCTATACGTTCATATAGACCCTGTATAGAGCAAAAAAGTATACACAAAAGCATCCTCTACATTTATTTATTATTTTAGGTTAGGGTTCAGTCCACAAGGGTGTTAAGGCAACTGATAAATCGGTTAACATTACAAGTGCTTTGCCCTACTGTATCTGTATACCGTGCAGAACATCGAACGGATCTCTTTGTGTTCTCGCCGAGGAACAAAGAGACGGGATCTAAGGCCATATTGAAAACGAGAGTCTGGAAGCGGCGGAGTCGTTGTTTTCGGTCGTTTTTCTAGCGAGGAAAGTGTAACAGTTACGGATTGTGTCAGAAATGAAAGTGCGCGGTATAGACGGAATGCAGTGTATTTCAATAAGACACTAGAAGCAGTATTAATCGGTACCAGGGTGCTTCTCACTTTTACTCAAAATTCAACCGCCTCGAATTCCCGTTCACGAACGGAACATAAATAGTGACGAAGTTCTGACATTTTAAAATCCACGACGAACCCGGAACACGATTTTCTCGCAAGAAAACTTAAAACTCTTTTTTTCCCTTATTTACTCCTTCTACGTCAGCACTGGATATTCATGGTTCTCAAATATATCAAGCACCGTACACTGATCCGATCATTATGAAATATCTTGGTACTTTAATACCGAAACGAGACACTCGTTATTCCTTGTTTGAAAATCGTTTGAGAATCGCATTGATACACTTGAGCGGCACGTTCCGTGTGTTTAATAAACGTAATCCTAATGGCATAACATGGCCTATCTCGTAGCCCGTATTCCTTCCTGATCTACTAACGAGTGCAGTGACTTAAAAAAAGTGGCTTAACAACATATATTTACCTATACTTACTGTAACCAGAGGGACGGAAACAGTGGGAGAGAAAGAGAAGGAAGAAAAAAAAGTCCAGCAATAGAAACCAATCGCACTAGGAATAATCCCAGTCGAAATGTCAAACGATATTCGAGCTGCGCCCGAGTCCTTTGAGACGCATGGAAAGTGACGATCCTTTATAGAGAAAAGGATCCTCTTCGCATAGAAACGATTAGTGCGGATAGCAGAGAGTCGAAAGGAGCGTTTGACAAGTCGGCCTTTTAAAATATCATGAATTCTTACGTCATTTATGGATGGTCGGCGTAGAGTGATGCTGATCGGATACACGATCCTCTCCGGGCCTCATGTTTCCATCATTGCACTGACCAAGATCCACGGATTCCTCTTGGTGACGAAGTAATCATTAACGATGTATATCACACACAGTTATAATTGGATAATCGGAGACAAAAATCAATCGATGTTATTGAAGATCGATCGTCAACTCCTTTGATCTGTCAATTTTTTTACCGATCGATTCGAGTGATCCAAAAATATCAAAGGACTCTATGATCACCCGTTATAAAGTCGATACCGATTTCCCGCAGTCTCCTGCACCAATGACAATAAAAATAGTATTATCGATCACTTCACCAAAACACACTGTGTCGGGGGACATCTGGATCATTTGTCGATCGACGGCTGTCCCCACGTACCTCTCCCCCCTCCTTTTTATTTATATTTTTTAAAATCTTCAAAGATCAACGCGACGAGAAGATACGAAATTTTACATAAGAATTCCTAGTCAGAGCGAAAACCAGTTATACTTTTTTCCCCTCTTCTCGTTTTCGTAATTCGCCGTGACTTATCTTCTCTTTCTTTTCTTTATTTCTCTTTTTCGTATAACGTCAAGCGTGCCCCGTCATACTTCCCGCCGTTACGCAAACGCGACAAACCGCTCGCGGTAATAAAAGTCCGTGCACCTTCCGACGAGAAAAAAATATATATATACCGGGTGTGTCGAGTGAACTCGATACTAATTCCGAAAGTTACTCACAGCGTGCGTTCTTATCGACTGGTTCGATTCTAGGCTTTCGTAATCAAACGATTACGCCCGCTGTGCCGCGAGACACGCTACAAACACGTTTGTTTGTTTTCTTTTTTAATTTCCTTTTGGGCTCGGGACGACTTTTCGTGAAAATGATCAAACCTCGTATCCCGTTAGTGAAATATCCTAGTGGGAACGATTGGTATTTATTCCACGTTGACTCTCTTCATAAAGAGCTTACTTGCCGTAAGCGACGTTTGTCGCTCGGAACTTTCTCGTCGCGACGAGGAAATTGAAAGTCGGAAAAACTAGAGGATATGTCGACGGACTGGAATACGATTTTAGAAAATTAAAAGGAGATCGTTGAAAGAGGGGATCGCTCGGGTCACGAATATCACAGGATGGAAACAGGTTCGAAAGTGTTTTTTTTTTTTTAGTTCAAACAGCATTATATCCAATGGACGCGAGGACACTGATGGCGGCACTACGATGATGTATATTCAAAAAATTTGATAAATTAGAAGTCCAACGAGATTCATATCGTGAAGATTGTTTAACCTTCAAAAACGATCATCGAGGCACGATCGTGATTGGCGCCTTGACGTTATCACTCGTTTATCGATGATTTTTAAAAATATATTTACGCCTATTTCACGTGTAAAAATATTTAATTATGAAGGTTTTTTTTTTCAAAAATTATTTATTTTTTCAAATTTGTAAATTCGCGTTACGAAACGTGACACAGGTTTCAACGGGCTTTGCACGGCTCCGAGGTATTCTTACGTAAAAAGAAATTTGCCTGTCGCTCTCCTAGCGTTGATCTTACTACACGACTGAAAAATTAAGCCCACTGTTAAAGCCGTCGGTCGATCGACTTCGTCTTTGACTTTTGTCAAATTTAATATCTTCGTCACGCGATGATTTTACGATCTCAGGAAAATGAGAATTTAGACCGGGACACGATGAGACTCGACATATTTTCTTATCGAATGATCCGCATATACGCAATCGTTAAAGTATCTTTAAGCGTTTCTCGCACGGGTATGGTGAGATTTGGAGAAAAAAAAATTGTGATATATTGGCAGAAACCGCGGGTGTAAAATTAATGCGAATGCGCGAGCGGACTCGGTCTAACTGCGGACGACGATGATCGTCGTGGTAGCAGGAGGTGGGGACACTGGGACTGGGGACTCAAGTGATTGTGATTGTTACATGGTGTACCAAGAGAAGGCTGTTAGTTTCGCTCGTGCTTCGGCGCACTGGGAGAACCTTACCGGTCAATTTCAAAATCGGGAAAGTTACCGGCGACTTGACCCTTTTCCTGCTTCGCTGCGGAGCACGCGCTCTTTCCCGAATTGATCTTTACCTCGTGATTTTGACTCGTGTAGTCGTGCCATTCTTCCCGATATCTACTTACTTCCTGGTCTCTTGGCGGTTTTTACGAAAAATCGTTGCCGTCATTGCTTTTCTACTAAGTCGCAAAAAAACCATGCTATACATACTCTGCGAACTGTTTACCAAGTTTGCCGCCATTTTTTATTTTGCATAATTATCACTTCGGCAATGGTTGTCAAGTGAAAAGTATCCGATGGATGATTTTGGGGGAATCGACGTCAAAGGGAAATAAAGGATTCTTCACGAAATCTTCGTCGATTCCATTATGACGTGTAGTAATGAGTTTTAGTATCATTATACATATATGTGTATATATTTATTCAGGCTAGTACATATGTACCTGTTCAGTACTTGACGAGTTGCATGCTCTTCAGGAATGTGGTCGTTCTTCGAGGTCACTCGCTGCCAAGCCGGCGTCAGTCATTTTCTTCCGTTAGCCATAACCAAAGGTGCTTCTTTCGGCTCGTTACAAATTAACCTGAAAAATAAAGTCTTATGGCTAATTCACGTAAACGGAAGCTGTACGAATCGATTCGCGCTTAGACAGCTGCTTAATGCAAAGACAACCGTTTCCAATAGCCACTCTTGTCGGCTTCTTCTTCAGGCATTAGTCGTCCTCGTCGAGGTCGTTCATGGTTATAACTTGGAGGTTATGTCTTCCCTTGGGTTAAACGGCAAGCAAACTGGTTCCCGATAAAATTATTATTATTTCTTGTAAAATTACAGTTTCCAAGACGTTCAGCATACTGTATGCACACACAGGAAGAGAGGTTATGACATGTAGTTAGTGCTCCTCGTACTAGAAGGTAGAAGAGGAGGTGGGACACATGGCCTCTGGTCTACCGACTGTACCAGTCTGGAACTAAGGTAACGCGCCTCTTGGAGAATCAGGAACGGCTACATACAGATCCGGGCCCATGGGCTACGGTTACTTCCGGCTTCCACCTGCAAAGGTTATATTAACTTTTTTTCACGGCTGACGAGATTAATGAATGATACTGGGTGATATATTTTTTTCTCCATAATATTTAACAGCCTCTTATCTGTTTTCAGGAACAAAAGCAACTGTAGTATTTTTTTCAATCAAATTCTCAAGGAAGACCGGTTTCTCTTCGATCATTCTGCATCGGTGAAACCATGAAGTGACATGTTGGCACAGTGATTTTCCCACTGTTTATATTAAGGTTTGCCTCAATGTGACGTAGGTCAAATATATATGTATAAATTAATAAAAATTGATGTTTTTAACTGATTCACCAGGAAACCTGTTTAATTTTCAGCGAAAATCTTTTCATAAGGTTCAGTACGGCTTCTGGAAGAATGCCAATGGAAAATTAAAGAAGAGGGCACTGATTTTCCATACTTCGCGACGGCCCTGCCTCCTGGCGCGGCTCTTGTCGTGTTGTGAGAGGGAAAGTATTTTATACCACGCTCGGCTTGGCAAGAGAAAGGGGACACGGTTTGCTCCTAATTTCTGTTTTAACTTCAAGTACCTATCCCGCCGAGTGTAACTCGACGTTATTTAAGTTATATATGTATGCGTATAGGTAACTGTATAGCCCAGTAAACAATCTAGCATTATTATTCGAGCTCGTGTCATTATTATGCTCGCTAAGGTAACAGTAAACACGGCCTATAAAAGCTTGAGGCACTTTTGGAGCACAGCACTAAGATAAGAGAAGAAATGAGATAAAAGCAAAAGTGTAAGTTATGCTAATCGTATTGCTATAGTTAACGGTCTAGTCTCTCTAGCACAGATTGTACATTTGGAGATCAATACGTCTTGATTAACGTACCAACTCTCTATTGAAAATCATTTCACTATTCCAAATCCTAATCCTGTAGCTCAGGTATCAGAATCAGATGAAAAAGGGTACACAACGCGTACTACCCCATGACGTCTGTGCACGTAGATCATTTTTTCTAGTATCATTTCTTACAATCCATGTGCCATGTTCTTTGTGAAAGGGAAAGTCAATATTGTTGACACGAGTAAAAAGACTAATAAAAAAAACCTTCGAGATGCGACCTTCGCGACGCCGGTGCAGCATACGTAAACACGCATGGTTCTTTGAGTGAGGCTGCGGTTAGTAAATCAAAATAATAATTAACCATTTGGCTAATCTTTGTCGATAGCCAATCGACATTTATATGTGTACTTTACACTTGGATTCATCTCGGTTGAGTATTATGAAAACTGGCCTTTACTGACTTTACCGAGAAGCTGCTTTTTCATGCCGGCATTGTCCTCTCACAATCAGTGCCGTATTATTGCATTTTAAGCAGACTTTCGCAAGGGGCCAAAGCGCAAGAGCGGGGTATCGACATGTTTCGCAAAGTATTTCACAGCTGGGCCTAACGGAATCTGTGAAAAAGAAGAAAAATAAAAAGTATTTAAGTAACTTCGTTATCTAGTATTAGCACCTTAATTCACTGTACCTGATCGCTTTTACGAATCCGGATTAATAGTCACGCACGATCTGATCAAATTGATCACAGAGAGATCCCAGGATCGATTGGCCGCTTCCTATTCTTATTAACCAACTGCACGTTGTGAGAGGCCTTTTTTCGGTGATGCTGCTATTACACTGTCCAATTAGACAGCGATGACGAATGACTTTAAAGATCTAAGTGTAGAGAGAAAAAATGTGTTATAGTCATAAGACTACAGAGGTTCCTTGTACTTGAAATGTTGAAACACGTAATTGATAGGTGTCACTGGCATCCGTGCTCCGGTTCAAGACTACCCTGTAACATGGTAAGATTGGTTTAGTGTGACGTGGATATATGAAAATTGACGTTTAAATCAATCATAAGACATTCGATAAGGATAATGATCCTAATCACAGAAGCGACACTAATTATTATGTAATCGGCCGAACATATAAAAGCGTAACAATTTATGGTGCCCTGCCTTTCACAGTAAGAAACTAGTGACAGTTGTTGTCTGTAATGTAATACGGGGTGGTATAACTATATTCTACCCAAAACCTTGGCTGATTAAAATCTCAAATCCGTTATGGCTGCCAACTCATACGCTGAATACGTTAAATGCCATTCGGTACGATTTACTAGTAACAATGGCATCGATCGAACCGATTTGCAGGAGCCTGCCGTGTTATCCTGTTAAATAACTTGAGTGTAAAAAAGTGCTAGGCAGGTTTAGATACCTTTTATTGTGTAATTTAACTGTCTGATGTTGTAGATAGATTTTAAATATATACAGACCGGATTCTCTGAATATTAGGACTGGATGGCTTTGGATATTGTGCTTCAATTTTTTCTTAAGGGTCCATAACAATTCTTATACCGAGTGTTGAAAAATTTAACGACTAAGAAATTATGTACGGGATTGACTGGTAGTACCATTCCGATTTATAGACTATCGTAATCATAGATAAGTTCAATTGATTGTTGCGATATGGGATGTTGAAACAGAATTTGTTTAGCGAACTGCGGATTTTCCATTTGCCAACTGCAAGAGAATAGTTGTGTAATTTAGTAATTAATTAGTGTATTGATCTAGTATTGAATAAATATTTTTACGATTTTGTATATGCAATTAGAGATTAAGAACTATGACAGGTGTATAAATAATAAATTTCTGTGATATACGAATTTTCAAAACATAATAAATAATCGTAAGCACCGCCAAAAGGTTAAGGAATTATTTTCGAAAATTCAAAAATTCCTCGTCGGAGTAGTTCGATGTCATTATCGATGATGACTTTATGAAAATCCATTTCCAATTAAGCGAACAGAATTGCATCGCATCGATCCGTACGATTCACGCTATATTGATAGTCATGACAGAAATCGATGATCATTGCGCAATGATGCTTTGTGGCGAGAGAGCGAGGAAATACCTTTTACCATTTCTTTAAATTTTTTGTTTGGCTCTCACAAACGAATCATTCCGCCATTTCTGAAGCTGTCGGAAGTGAGCTGTAAGCAGTTTTTGACAGCATAAAATACTAGAATACTAAATTTCGATTTGACCGCTGAAATGACAGTTGATTAGAAACGCCGTATGTAATATTCACATCCTGATTTCAACAAAGACTGTATCCCGCGCTTAAAGGCAACGCGTGGGAAAAGTACTGTAGCAGTAGACCAATCGGGAAAGGTAAAAAAACGCATTTCCGCTAAAAACAATGGGCATAGACATTTCACCGAATGAGGTGCAGGTACCAAGAGATTGTACATACCAGAAGGTGTTGGTAACGACTTGTATGAGACATTAATAATTTTCATAAGAAAAAATAAAATCAGACATCGAATGTCGAAATATATTTTAATAAATCGTGATACCCTCGAAATACACGTCAAACAATTTTTACATATTTACAACATACTGTGTTTGGTAACAATACAATCAAAGAAGTGCGAAGAAATATTCCTTGGAAATACCGACAGAGTGAGAATTTTTACTGAATTGTTTATTTGTCTACGGCATGAAGTGCGCAATATCATTCCACGAATTATTTGTATCTCTCGGTTATTCAGATTTGTATTGCGAGGATATACGTATAGACTTAGATTCACCGAACACACCTACTTGTGCGTATTGCTAACAAAATTTTGACAGCGTCACTGACTGTTATCCAAATACGTTACGTACGTGTCTCGCACTATAGCTTATCAGTCACGCTTTTATTCCGTCACTTTAACGATGAGAGGACGTCCCTCTAGGTATGAGACATTCGTGGCGGCGTCGTCTCAGTGAAAACAACGTGTAACAACAGGGCAGTCCTCGCTTAACGCATTAGAGAAGTTTTACGGGCCAGTATGGAGTACATAGTTATATTTCTCAGTTCTTACTTTCAGCTTGGTTTGTTACACTTCTTATTACATTGGCTGTTTCACGATCAGTTTTAACTAGCACTACGCAAAAGTCGACGTTAATACTGATTTCAGCCTTCGGAAGGCATAATCAGCAGCGCTTTCGTTTTCTCCGAGTCTGACAGCCGGTCCTTTGTTAGGAGACGCAATAGGCCCAAACAGAAGAAGAAACTATATAATTTAAGGTTATACACAAAAAAATGTCAAGAAAAAGATGATGGCGTTATGGATTATAACCTTGCAGTTTGTCAGGTAAAATATTAGAAACCTCCCCTTTAAGACACTTTCATTTTCATCGATTAAAAGTAAATCTAAATCCTTTCGCTTGCGGAGCGTGTTAACGTAGACAATCCCCTTGGGTATCAAGAGGCAACGATTAACGTTATTGCGGTAGCTTTTCTAATACCCGCCTTCATTACATCGGAGAAGAGCTAATGATCGTCCGTGATCAAGAAATTATTCAGGAAGTAACTCAAGTCAGGATACTTCCGGTATGGAAACTAAAAGAACAGCTACGAATGTTCTACTTCCACTTCCATAACCAAGTAGCTTTTTCCTCTTACTCACATGACGTGAAACCTAGCGGTCGAAGTATCAGTCGGTAAAAAGGCGTTAATGTTTAGACAGCGAGTTCTGCATAGGAAAATGACAGACTTTTCTCTAATACTGAATTCTTTTTTTTTTTTAACGAAATATTATATTTTTGACTGAAGCTCAATGGACTGTCACATGTACGATTATTTTTTTAAATAATGCAAATAGGTTTTGTATTCCGGCTAGTACTTCCGCCGTTAGTTTCAGCATTATCTTACTCACCAACTCTTACTGCATCTGTGCTATGTGGTTTTTCCTTTTACCGTCTTTTAACCTGCTTACTGACATAGGCACATTTTCACGAACAGATAGCAGAATCGACAAAATATTTAATATTGTTCTTACTCCGGAACGTTCGATTCATGAAGACTATCGATCTTGCTGTATTTCACTTACGAAAATACGAATAGACACGCTCAATCAAATTCAAAATGGCAACCGTTTATCTCGGATGAATTAGACACGTTAAATATGACGCATAATGCTTGTTGACTTTCCCAGGAAAATAAGAGCTATTACCTGACACGGACGGATGTGTTCTGTGACTGGCCGATTACATTATTGACAGGGACGAGTGAGTTTTAATTAAAAGAGAACGTAAAGCGTCTGATTCCGTTGCGGTACGCAGCCATGAGCAGTGTCCTCCGTAAAATACTAAGGTTTGACTGGTGCTTTGATGTAAGATTCGAATACTAAATTTTCACGTTAATTCGCTGCGAAATAATATTTATTAGGAAAAAAATAATCGTAACGTTTGCCACTGTCTGTTATTAGGTAAACAAATAGATTCTTAAATGGACAGTATTTTTAGTCGATCGTAAAAATTGTTACGATTATCAATTTTTCAAAAATCTATACGCACAATGCAGCTGCGGCAAAGTGATAAGACGTGAACAAATAACGAATGCCGGAAGATAAATTACATTGTTTGGCAAGTCTTCTGAAACGCAGATAGCATAAAAATGTCCATATCTCCTCTTACTGAGTAGAAATGCTGAAGGGAAAAAAAAACATATCTACACGATAATAGTAATTTCGATTCCGTTGCAATTAATGACTATCCAAACAAAGTCTGAGTAACGCTCCTACTGACGTGCAAAAACTAGAAGGCTGCAGCCATTGTGCGTCAGACGAAGTGGCACTCCGGTAAATGCCGCGAAAAATAAAGGAGAATAATTTAGTATCTGACGAAAAAAGAAATACAGCACCCCGATGCCGTAGGTCGTCGTTTTTAGAATCATTAAGACTGTTTTACGATATTTTAATTGCGCCGCTAGTCATTTGGCAATATCTTTTAACGATTTCATTTCACGTTAATCGAAAGATAGACGGTCGAATATTTCCCAAAACGTGTCAGGAAATCGCTTCATATTCCAGCATGGAATCCAAAAATATTAGAGAAGCTAACGTCCGATTTTTATGTGAATACGACATTTATAGGCAAGATATTTATAGGCAACGATTATGAAAGTGTAAGAAAATAAAGAAGACATAATTTTGTATACATCTCAGAGTAATTATATTGATCTAGTGTGTATCAGTACATAGACAAATTAATAGTTGAATTAATATAGTAATAGTAATAATATTAATAATAACAATAGCGGAGATATATAATACAATTAGGGTAACTAATAATCAGAAAACTAATATTCTTTTATTTCCTGTGACAGCTGCCTCAATGCCTTTGAATTCCTAGCTCTCCTACAGAGTCTTCATAATTATCAAAGAAATACGTGAAAAGGAATAAAGAGAAACTTGTACGCACGACACCGTATTTGTACGTAAACCTATATAGTGTGTTGCCTTTAATATTTCTCATGATTATAAACCTGCTAAATGTGTCCCTTCTGTCGTATAAATATACCGAACGAACATTACACGAGTTTTCCACATCGAAGCCCTTCCACAATATAATTTATCGTTTTATAAATATTTAAAAAAAAAGAAACAAGCAATGTTAGTTCGAACAGACTAGACGGACTTTGCCACATTAATACACATGGTCCTCAGCGGTATAGAGATAGTAAAAAACTTATTTTGAAATATTCTATACTCGTCTCTGAACATTGCAATATATAAACTGTTTGAAAAACACTAATCGGTATACCGTCTTAAAATGATTCGTTAATTATTTGTATATCATTGATCAACCCGACTATTACAAGTGAAGAAACGTCCTTTTACAGTGGGCTCGCTAAGCAATGAGAAAATCTAAATGAGCCGAGCAAAACAAACTGATCTACGACACGTGAGGCACACATTGAATAACGCGTGCAATGTAGACGACGCCTATGTTAAACCTTGTGTGTGCCTTCGTATTACATTAAGAAAAAACACCAATGTCAATTCTGCGAATATCTTCCTTATGATTAATAAAATAGCAAGAGAAGACGTTATTCTTGTTTGTTTTTTTCGCACTTCCTCCACAGAGTCCCAGGACATGTGATCGCGTAAACATCTATAATATTAAGATGTGTACTATTGGCATTCTTCGTTTTGTATAATTTCATCGAGTGTCGCTAATTGTTTATTAAACAGTTTCTCTATTATTATCGATCGAAACTCCATATTTTTTTCTTTCTCAATTTCGTTAATTACGATTAGCAAAAAGTTCGTCGACTATTCGTTACTGACTTGTTGATTTCTCGAAATATTCGTTCGTTCGCGTATTCGTGTTTATTATGACTGTCTGTCTCGTTCCGTATTACGGTGATTAATGTAACTGTATCCCGGGATTTGTGACGTAAAGTTAGTAACAGATACGATAAGACCGATGATATCGATTTATAATGATGGAATGCCTGACGATTGCTGTGCAATGTTGACGTAAACGTTTCATAAAGGTTGTGTAAGCGAATTTTATACATCGCTTATACGTATATTAAGAGATCCGGTAGCAAGACAACGGACTCACAGTGGTCCGCGAGTCCACGGAATTATTACGAAGGTGATCGAAGAGTAACCTTGTCGATAAGGAGTACTTGCTGATAAAGATATCTTTCCATCCTTTACAATGACTACGGGTAATCATTAAGCTGATGCGATATATTGACATGTACGCTTTTAACTTTTTAAGTGCACGTTCGACATTTTCAGCAACATCAAGCACTCTACTTCGTACCGTACTCCGAAAATTCGACAGGATTACAATCCACTTTTGAATGTCGGTTCAGTTGAGCGGATCCACCTCCACGTAATCGTAGATAAAGGAAGTTGTCGAGGATGAGGAATCTGCTAGAATTTCTGTTGGTGCCAACTGAATAGTTGGATCGGTCCAGCCATCGATGTCGCTTCCGCCAATGTCCAGGCCAAGACGTAGATTAGCTGGTGTATTGCCGATAACGAAGTGATCCTCTGTCAAGGGTAGAGCATCCTTCAAGAGAAGCCTGTTAATCAATAAAGTTATACGTTCAGATTATTTTTAGAATAATAATTATTCAAATAAGAACTAAATGTCTGTACTTACCAAACACCTTCGTCAGTGACAACGTGAACCTTGGGTACTGGAAAACCGTTGAACTTAGATGCAACCGGCAGAGTATAGGCGCCCATATTTTCAAATATAATCCAATCGCCAAGTTCCATATCGTGTAGCAGAATATTCTCAACAACCTGATCCAAGCCATCGCAAGTTGGTCCCCAGATACTTGAGGGAGTCATCTTACCGCAGCCATTCTGTTTAAATGAAGAAGTATCAATATGATGTACTATATTCGCAGCGATGTATCCGTAAAACTAGTATTACAATGGGATATTTAAACGTAGACCTTTTATATTCATTATAGTGTTTACCTTTAGTGGAATTGGTGTAACGTGTTGATGATCGTAGAGAAGGCAATTAAACGAACCATAAACGCCATCGTTAATGTAGTACATGTTGTGCGTGATAGCGTTGGGTGAGTTCTCATCGCCACGTACAGCACGCTTGCTGTGAATACTGGTTGCGAGAGTGAACGCAGAAGCAACGTAAAATCGACCTGGCTCAGCAATTATGTGTACATCGTCAGCTGAAGAAAAATAAGTCAAGAATTAATGTCTATCACTGAAATAATATTTATATCATATAGCAAAGTTAGGCCTGGATAACGTACATGGAAAATATTCATCCAGAGCTTTATTGATGATATCGGCCATTTTGTCAATGCTGCTTCCCTTGTTGCCTGGATAACCACCGCCAAGATCCAGTAAGTAAGGCTTGAAGCCGAGATCGCTTGCCATGTCGAAGAGCATTCTGGCATGCCGAATGGCTCTATGGAATACCGGTGGATCCTGGCATCCTGATCCAACGTGAAATGAAATTCCAGCGACATCCAGTCCCAGCATCCGTGAAAGATGCAGAAGATTCGGTGCCTCGTGAGTAGGATCACAGCCAAATTTCATTCCCAGTTGGCATTGGGCTAGTTCGGCATCGCAACGAATACGTAGAACAACCTATAAATCAATTTTTTTTTGTTCACGTAAGACCAACTTGTTTACATACTACATATCCTTCATTTGCAATGGATAAGCAATTTAAAAAAAAAAAGCGTTATTTACCTTGGCACTAGGATGAAGCTTCTTGATCTTATGCAATTCACTTTCATTATCAACCGTCATTGTATCGACTCCCATACCTGCAGCATGGCGTATATGAGAAGCTAGCTTGGCCGGATTAGCGAAAACGATTCTGGAGGAATCAACACCGATACCAAGGACCTTATTGATCTCAGTCTGAAAAAGACGAGCCCTTGTAAATAAAATGTAAAAAAAGAAACCAGTTAAGTAAAATATTCCTGTATAACTCACTTTTGATGCACAGTCAAAACCAATTCCAAGGGCCGCAAGAACCTCCAGCACAATCAAGGTATCATTACATTTCACGGCTGAAAAATAAAAATAAAATAAGCGTTTCAAGTATGACTCAATATACCAAGAAAATGTTCGAAATATAAATCCTTCGTTCCTAGAAAAAATGATTACTCATACCGTAGTACGGATCAACCCGGGGCAATTTCTGTTTCCAAATTTGATGTTTGCGTACAATGTCTCCGATGTCCAGAACATAGAAAGCTTCTTCTTGGACGCCGCTCGTTGCGATGTCCTTAATTACAGTCATAACGTTCGACGCATTGTCCAGCACGTGGATGCGCTCATCCAAGTTGGTTACCTTCATGTTTTCTCGGTTTTTTATTTACGATTAACGAATACAATCGACACTCCGTAGGCGCTAGGTAGCAAACTAATAACAAACAAAAAATTAATTAACAACCAAACATCGATGACTTCGATTTGATTCTAAAGTAAAATAGCAATAAATAAATACATACGAGGCAGCTGTCAATGAGAGGCGGGTGAATCGTGAGGGGGGCGAATTAATAAGATTTCTGTGGGGGTGCTAGCAAAGCCACGGGGGCTCTGCGTTCAGGGCCAACTTCCAGTTGCCGCTTGTGCTCAGTTGTTCACCAACAGACTGGCCTACCAGTCTATCGCAGACAGAACCCTGAAACAAAGCAATAGATAACGTAATATAAATTTGTACAGATGTTTTCAAACTATGAGAAACAATAGACGCATAGTCATTTAAAGTATATATTTGACTGGTGCAAACGTAATGCTTCGGATACAAAGAATTGCAAATGTTTGCCAAAATTAATTTTTAAATAGAAGAAGAAAAAGAAACACCTTGACCCGCTCCTCCTCTCGAGTGACGTTTACTTTCTCTCCGGAGAAGGCGGACAGATTCAATTTATGAGCGAATATAAATCACGCTTGGCACGGTGCTTCAGATACGCGCATTATGCCTACGTCACGTCACTGTATGATATTCTAGTCGGCAGTATTGCGTGATCGTCATTTTTTTTAGCACGGTATTGTCGACCTCTTCGAAAAGAGCAAACATCTCGTCTCATGAAATATAATGAGCATAACAATCATAATTGTAGCTGGCGCGTCTATGAGACGCAAACAAATTCAAAGTAAGAGTCCCGTGTCATGATTTCAAGAAATTCATTATCCTTTTTCGTCAATATTTTTCAATATTCCCGCGACACTGGTAAACAACTGATTAATTGATAAGGAGGATCAATTATGTTGATCGAAGGATCAATGGTCGACACAGTGAATCGATAATGGTGATTTTTAGAATTTGAGGTTATAAAATAACGTACGGTTAAGAAATGACAAAGATTTAACGTAAATGATTTGTAAAATTCCTCTAATTGTTTCTCAAATTTATGCCGCATGGAAGATCATATACGTCTTATCGTTAATACGTAGTAAGTAACGCCAATAAAGTTTATCAAATACACGGTGCGGCCACCAGAGATAACCGGCAGCCTAGACTGCCTGGTGCCGAGCTAACTGATAATGCGAATTTATTACAGCATGCTGCAAAGAATTAATTGCCTGACATTTATTGGCCTGTCGTATAGAATTTCCTGAAAGAAAAAAAATAGCTTCCTTCTGTCTACGAAGATTAAGTGTCGTTTTATGAAATTTCAATATCTCCTATTCCCAGGCTCAAAATTCTATCGCGCTTTTTCTTTCCGCTTGTTGGTCATGATAATTGGCAAATTTCGCAATGCTCGCGTAGCTTTAAATTTATACAAATACGTACACGCGTATGTTACTGAATGGTGATGTTTATTTTTGAAACGAGAATAAAGGACTTTTGCTTTTCTTTTGCTGGAAAATTGCAAAATACACGATTATTTGACATTTCGTCGATTTCATTATTGAGAAGAATTTGCGAATACTTTGAAACTCCGATTTGACCGAACCTCCCAGGGAACGAAACAATTGCGAATAACTAAAATTGGTTCGGATAATAAGAGCTTACCGATTCTCCTCTTGATTTGGCAATTTTCCTTTCGGTTCTTAACCTCTATAACGCCGGACGCCTTTATATAGACGCGGAATGGGTTGTGAGACTTTGATTACATATTCAAATAAACTATATGTAACTTAAAAATATTGAAAATTGAAAAAATTTGAAAAAACAAGTGCGGCGGTTTAAAGTCTGGGTCAAAATTCAGATAACTGAATAACTCCAGAAGATGAATTTAAACGAACGAATTTCTACCGTACTAAAATAAGCATGAACGGAATCATATTGATTCTCCGAATAAGACGCAGGAAAGATTTGCATAACGATTTTTTGAAATTCCTTATATGGGCAGATACCGAGCACAGCCGATGGAAATAATTGACATTAAGAAACGCTGATTCGCATCAAATATACCGTGTGGTTAGGAAAATAAAGAATATACTTGAGGAAGGGTCGACTACACTACATTGGTCATACCAATTTGCTTAAAGCACTTTGACGATCTACCACGCGTCCGTTTAGTTTCATTAATTCCAATGGGCAGCGAACTCGCAAATTACTCAGACCCATAATGAATTAAAAGTAAGCAAGAATCGTCTGTAGCAGCGTTGAGAAGACATCAGCCTATTTAGGTATAGAATTAACCAGAAGGAAGAGAGAAAGAAAGAAATTTTTTTCAAAAGCCTAACAAGCATCCACGCATTTACGTTATAACGCCTTAACGTCCGATCTGGTGAAATTCAAAGGAAATATCAAGAAGCGTACCTGATCGTAGGAAGTAATTCTCGTGCCTTCTGTATCACACATGCAATAAGATCCACGGGTTGATAAGATTTCTGCGCGTAGTCCGAATTGCTACTGAGTCGTTTCCAAGTATGTGTAATGAAATTGAATAATATTAACAAAACAAAATCGTAAAACCCGATCAACAGACGTACGACAAAGTCGAGACTCGGAGTTCTTGTAATATTTTTAACGAATTACTGGTACCAGACTTCACTAAGAATCTGCCAATACTGAACCTGAATTGTCTGTTCGTGCCACTATTTATACGAGAATGATAAGTATTATCAGGCGGACTACTCGTGGTTTCTAAGTACATGGAATGGAATGAGTCTTATCAGACGACCACGAAGTACATGGTCCATAAAGATGGTAGGAAGAAATAGAGGGGTGGTGGTGCACACGCCACTTTGGGGTCAGGCTTCATCGGGGGCCTTCATCATTTATGACAAGACCTAATTTACATTGCTCGATCATCGCTATTATCTTTTGATATTTTTACAATGAGAAAATTCCTCCTCCACCACCCCCTCGATCGCCCACCAAGTTAACTTTTATTGTACCTAGTTTCTGAAAGGAAGAAAGAAGAACACTCTGCGATTAATGCTCGACCGATTACACGAACAATACTTCTGAGTCGAAGGATTAAATGAAGAAGTATTTGGAACGTAGGTGGGCTTGGGATTAAGGCATAGATACAATTATCATCAATTTTATCTTGTGACTTAATAAGGAATGTGATTCTAATGTCTTTTCATCTAGGCAATTAATCTCTTTGAAGAATTTGAAGACAACTTTACAACTAGACAGCCTGGCTCTAGGCTGTAGCTGAATTCGAAGGCCTTGCGATCGCAGATCGCCGATTGTCCACATTGTAGAAAGTCATTGCTCGAAAGTCGTTGAATCATTAAAATTTTAATTAAAAAAATATTTTTAACACCTCTATACATATTTATCTCGTACCTATAAGATTTTTAATGGCACGCTGATCACTGAGGGGAATGACTAGGCTTAGTAAGAACAAAAGAAATTTAATGCCAACTGCGACTGTAAATTCTGTGTTAGACAGGTTCCTTAATGGTCATACTATTTTGTGTTATTTTCGATTTTTTTTTGCAAAACTACAACACGCGTAGTAGAATTTGGACAGGGAGTGGGACTCTATGCACCTCGTAAAATCATATACATATCGAGGCCTTATCTTATCTATATGACATTTCAATTTAACATGAAATTAATACAGGCACGTGTTACTTGGCTAATGCAAGAGAAAAATTATTCTACGTTACTTCATGATCTTGCCTGAGAAGAGTAAGAAAAATGATAATATACAACTGTGGAAGAGCAAACTTCACACACCATTAACGCGACGCTCAGGATTGGTGCTCATGCTCGTAAAACGTGCAAATAAATAATTCTTGGTAGAATACATGAAACGATGCAATTTTGCAATTTTATCTTAAGAGTAAAAACCAGATCGCATTATCTGGTAACGATAATAAAATTTAATTTCTTAATACCAACATGGCTTTTGTTTGCTAAAACGTCGTATAAATTAAAAAAAAAAATGTCTTCGTCTCATATTTCTCTGGCTGAAGGAAAAACCGTAAATATATATGTTTTTCTGATTAAAGAGGAGAATACTAGTTCGATTGAGATATTGCTAGTCTAGTTAATCATTACGTACGTAGAATTCCCAGAGTATTCTATACGTCACTCATCAACTACTTTGATATGATATATGTATTCTAAATTATTAACTGCTGTTTTGCTATTGCTCGCAAAAAGAAATATCTTAATACTCAGTGCGATATGATGTCAAAAGTTTATACGTATGTCACTTTAGAACAGTACGGTCAAGTATCAAGTGACCCGTGACGCTACACTATATAACGCTAACTGCCATTGTTATATACTGAATGGTCGATAGTGTTTTATCTCTTAAAAGAACGCATAGTCAGGACAATGACACACACACACACATATATATATATGTGGAATCTACTATATAAATTTTTGATCAGGAAACCTTATCTGATTGACTGATAAGTATAGGATTATAATTCGGGCATATTACGAAACCTTTAGCGCTGTCACTTTTGCTTTTATGATTTAATTATTCTCCAAGTCCATTACAGTATAGACTATTTCATCTGGTTTCAACCAGCGTTATCGGATCTCCTTGAAAAAGACGCAAATATCTGCGCACGTATCTATTGGCTTGTGATAAGTTCTGCAACGTGCCGGTCGATAATACCGGTAGTGTGGTAATGCAGGAAACCAGTGTACATACATTATTTTTTTTAATGCCACTGTTGCTTGATTGCTCCAGGCCTTTTTTTGTAATACAAAATGAAGAACTGGATTTATATTGTATATTGCAATATTTTTGTAATATTTGTATGGATAAATTTATTTATATGTGGATACGCCGAGCATAGAGGATAGTAAATGCTTAACTAGTTATAACTAGTCGAGTGTGCATTTTACTGGATTTTTGCCAAGGCCAGTCAAGTTCTTAAATACTTGTAATAAGTTAATTATTTTGAGTACTTCCCATGTTATAGTTAGGTGGTATTAAAAATATGTTAAACCAAAGGAAAGAGATGTGCATATTGTTCGTAAGTTCTATAACAGATACATAAAAAAACATTATATTCTACTGTAATTTATTATTTGTAAGATTTGAAATATGATACAGAGCAAAATTAAAAGGTATGTCCAAGAATTGCTTTCTATTTTAGGATTTGAATGTTGAGCATAGTGCCACCATCTGGGTTAGCTGATCTAAACTGATATATACCTCCAATATTATGTCATGAAAACCATGTACTGAATTTAATAGGAAATTAAATAATTGATGCAATTTAATTGTGCAATTTGAAAAAATGGCATATGTATTTTTTGTGCCGATACTATACTCGTTGCATGACATATGGTTTTGATTGGACATATGGATTAATATATATGTAATATTATCAATTAGACCTCATTGAGCAATAAAGTAATTTTAAATCGGCATTGAATAAATATCAAGTATCGATGACCTCATGCATTAATAATCTGATTCTAGGAGACAGCCATACTCTGCTTAACAAACTACCATTTACCAAAAGTGCGTTTAATCTTAAATACCAATAGATAACGATATGTAAAAATCCTTAGTCAAGAGTCTAAAATTTATCATGCAATACTCTGGCTTTGTGGTTCATGAATCATTGTTACAAATGCGGATATTTTCACGTGATTGACGTGACTCCAAAAGATCCTTGATACAGATGTTACGAGATTTGTCGAAATACATTAAAAGACTTACCTTATCAAAAGATCGCCACCCTGCGGGTCGGCACTCGGTTATTGACGGAATGATGGAAGTTTTCGGTGACTGGATCCCAAAAATCAGTCAGAAATTTCGGCAGATGTAGAAGTTTCGTCCGTGTGGCGACCAGTCCTTGTCGTATTCACTCACGCTCGGTTTTTTCCAAAGAGCTACGCGAAAAAACATTCGTTTGCGCGGTCGTTCACAGTTTATCCTTGACAAACGGACATATCACTGATTTTCAATAATAATTTATGTCGTTAATAGACGTCTGGCGAGAGGAAAGTTCGCGATAACTTAACTGAATTTAACAGACTTCAGACCTCCTGCACGCCAGAGCGGCCATTACCTACTTTGAGAACGTTGTTAAAAGCATCAAGAATAGCTGCAAATAGTTCTTGATGAGGTCGCGAGTGTGAAGATTTAGTAGATTTAGGAACACAAATGTCATAGTGACATCAAAAATTATCAAAATGGAGAAATGACATCTTTGGTACCTTATGTAGAAGCATAAATTCAAACAAAAAAACAGTAACATCTATTCAATTTGAATATTGTGGAATCGCATAGTTAATTATAATTTTGAGCTGTTTATATTATATTTCTGAGCTAAACTGCAAAATATAATTCTTTCTTTGAGGTAGCTGTGGATTGTTTAGATTTTTTTTACATGCTCTTCAAGGAGTCGTATTCTGTAGTTTTACCTATTTCTGAATAATTGTACGTCATGCATATACTGAAATAGTTTTTATTACATGTAAGAAATAACAAATGTAATCTTTAGAATAGATTCAAGAGTTTGTAATTAGTAAGAAAGGTCTTAACTATATTTTAAGTAAATGTCATCACCTGTAATTAAAAAAACATTACTAGCCGTACTAGTTTTCTTTCTTATTTAGTCCGCTTTAATTGGAGGGGAAAGACTTCTAATTCCAAGCCTGATGACCATTACAGCGCTGTAGATCAATTGTTTATTGAAAGTTATAAAGTTATTTTATTTAGTAAATTTCTATTAAATTATCAACATACCTTATCAAAGCAATCAAGCCAGCAGGCATTACTTTACCAGTATTGTAAAATCTGTAGCTCATAAGACCACCAAGAACAGCACTAGTTCCTAATAAAACTCTATAATTGTTAGGATTTTGTGAGGTCTGGTATGCTCCAAAAGCTAATACCGATCCAAAGAGAAGACCAGCTCCCAAGGATGGGACAGAATCTATAAAGAAATGTAAAAAATAATATTACATAAATTATAAATTTACCAAAACTTTAAAGACACGCTTAATTGAAGTAGAAAGTCCTAGAGAAAGAATATGATAACAGATTGAAAGATAACAGTTCACAATCACGTCCAACATATAAAAAAAAGTGTACTGTATTAGAAAATAGAAAAAACTTACTTGACTTTACATAACCCAAGATCCCGCCAAGACCAACCGCCGTAGCGTAGGCAAAACCAGCAATATCAACCGGCATATTTTCAAAACTCTTGATAGAAGTATCAGTTAAGTTATCGACTTCAAGCTGGCTTAATACGGTATAGCAAATGTTGATCACAGATGACTAGCACGTGTTGTACCAGAGTCGCGGGACCCTCAATGTTGCAAGCTAATCGTAAGCCGCTACGCGTTGCCATGTTCTGCTGCGCCCTCTTAGCCAGATAACTATTTTTATGACAATAATGAATATGGAGTATTTTAGCTTCTTTGATAGCACACCCTTAGATTAATATTAAAAAACAATATTTTTAACTACCTATCAACTTTCTGTAAACTACGCCCCGTTTATTAATATCAATAATGCTTTCTCTAAATGCATGAAAAGCATGCGTAGAACAATGCGCATATGTGCAAAAAAAGTAATTGCGTATTTAAAACCTGTTCTTAAACAGTGTTTATTATTTTATGTATCTGTTGTTATACCGAAAACATCTCTGGATAATGTCAGCCGAGGTATCATAGACGATTTATAAAAATATCCTGTTCTTTGAGATATTGGATAGCATTAAACAATTAAGTAACTTGAATAATAAGTAATTGCAAATGATCTACAAGGCATTTGAGATCATATAACTCTTTAAGAAAATTGAATATATTACGCATTGGTTATTAATCATACGGTAACTGTAAAAAGTATGAAAATAATCCGTATTTTAACTTTACTATAAAATTACACATTTTAGGCATTGTCTTATATTTACTTTTTAAAAATCATTTTATACAGTACCTATATTGATTATAAAGTACTCTAGCAGTCGTCAGTCATTTAAAGAATTCTAACAAAACTTTGTTTTCTTTACAATTTCAATACGTAATGCAACACGCATGACGGACTTTATGTGTTTTATCTTATCTTATTCAATTTAACTAGATTAGATAATGATGTAATGCCTCAGGGCCACCTGTTTCTGACGTTTACTTGGTTCATTTAAAAAGTCTGAGGCTAGGAGATATCGTCATTGGCACATTGTGAAACTCCTAGTATTACGTAGGATTAGCTAAGCAGCGTGATCGGTAACATTAGTTCTTTTTCAGATTAGCGAAATCTGCTAAAATAATTGTGCATTAGTATATACTACTTAACCAATAAAGCAGTCAAGATGGTGTCACGAAGTTTGTTGATTAGTACCGGAAACATTTTGTCATTTAACGAAGTTAAGAAGAAAGCAGGACAAAATCCAACGGACGAGGTTTGTTTGCGGTGAAGGCCGTATACATGCATTATGTTTTGCAATAATGTCACTTGAAATTATAAAATTGGAGTAAGCATGACAGACTAGATATTGTTTTTTCATGAGGTTATGTTTATTAGTGCTAATTAAAATTGCTATTGTTTTAATATATTATGTGTATCTTAAGAAATTAATATTTTTGTGATATTGTAATTTTAGCTACTTGAATCATTGAGAATCGTATTGAAAGATTCTCAAAGTAAGGATGATGCTTCAACCGTAGTACGTATACCTCGACTGACGCAGTGAGTATATAATAAAGATATCTATGATTGACATTATCGATAGTTGCAGGTAAATAGAAAGGAGATGCACGAAACAGATGTGGATAGAAAGGAATTAAAAATTACTGTAAAGATTTTCATTTCTTCTCCGAAAGCTGATTCATTGAAGGACTCGTTAGAACAAGGTTTATAGAACAGAAAATTGCATGTTAATATTTATTCATTTCTCTTTACATTCTGTTCATACTTTTTCTTTACAGTTTTTCATACGTTACATACCGATACAATAGAATCCTTGATAATAGCTTATGGCAAAGTAGAGCCTTCGGAGGACATATTAAAGTCACTCCAAAGTTTGTGGACTGTATTGGAAGAATATGTAAAAGCTGGGAAACTTTCAAGCATCGGTGTCAGTGACGTGGATACAGATGTTTTTATTGAGCTGTTCCAGTGGGCAAATGTAAGATTCATTTTGTTATTAGTCATTTATTGGTCGTCTATTAATGTATTATAATAATATTACTAAAGTGCATTTGTTATCCTTATATGTATTCTACTTATACATTCCTTTCTTCAGGTGAAGCCTAATATTGTACAAATAAATTTAGCTACTTGTTGTGTTGTGCCACCAGCTTTGCAAGTTTTCACTAAGGAAAATGATGTACAGTTATTAACACACAGCGATCCATGTCGTAAGTTACTACAGAAAGTACTAGTCTTTAGGTATACCCACTTTGAAGCACAATTTTATATTTAATAGAATAAAATACGTCATCATCACTATTTACTATCGCGTGATATACTTACTATATCATCATTTTATATTTGCAGAGATTTTAACGAATGATGCGCTGGACGAATTTTTCGGGCCCGGCGTGAATGTCCACTGGGTCGCTCGATATCAAGTTCACGTCAAGTGTCGGGGTGTACTCTCTTCAAAGGGATACTTAGTGTACATCAATAAGCCAGCCTAGAAATCATGATGGAATAAAGTTTACTCGATTCAAATTTATGGGTCTCAGGTTTTATAATAATTAAGCTAAGTCCGTTAAAATACGTAACAATTTCTCTTTAACTGTAAAAATCTATCCTTCTTTGTGAAATTGATTCTTCTTCTTCTTCTTGATCCTTTTTGGCTTTATGCTCAAGAGAGCCAAGTGCTAGTATGAAAATGATTCTTTTGAAAATTTGAAACATTACAAACATTATAAAAGTGTCTTGCGAATGTCCTGAGTTCCTATGAACACATTATGGACATTGTATACTTTTGGGTTTATTAATGTTTTACATTAACATTTTTTAAAGTCTACCATAGCCAGCTAACATATTTCTAAATTGTGAAAAAATATATATTAATTCAACAAAGTGGAACACAAAGAAATGTAAAAAAATATTTCAATGATTTCGTATCATTACTATCCCTTCAGTAAGAATTACTGTCAATGTATCTACTCTTATTTTCTTTTTCACCCTTATAAAAGAGTAATAAATAATGTAAAAACGCTTTATATATTCAGCCATTTATTTGCATAATACAACGCAATTACTAATTTACACAATGTTATAGAATACCTTCAAAATTCTATCACCCCAAATCAAATCCAATAAAATTTCTGCGATAATACATATAACGCTTTACAGTATCGAATATAACTTTTCGCCTATAAAAAAATGACAAACACTTCGCTACTCTTTAAGGATGTATAAAAGTATTGTCAACCTTTCCGCCAAGGTATCACGAAACATCGAAGATAAATATAATCAGTGCGGATCATTGCTATGAAATAATACATTCTGCAAACGCATCGGAATACGAGGAATCCCAGGCGCACATATAAATTTTCGCCAGCAGCTAGTGAGCGCAAAAGTAAACGCAAAGCTGCAAAAGCGGCGGGATGGTAGAGCATATAGCGTTGGCTATAAGATTCCAGCGAATATGAACAAGAGAAGAAAATAAAAAATTACCGCAATAATAATTCTCGAATATTATAATAAAAAGATTAATAATCCGTCCGACTAAAAGCGTGTGCAAATCTTCATTAACAACATACAATATGCATTCGAACATTACAATAATAAATGAATACATAACACGCACCGTAGTTTCACTTTAATTCATCATCCCTCGTAGCACTAAAACTAGTAGTTACCAAGAAAGACCATCAGTTAACCACGTAGTAGATCGTAATATCCAAGCTATAAAGATATTTCCTGCCTCGTTTCATCGTGCGAACTTCCGAACTCGTTACGCTGCTTAGGGGCATGCAAGTACGGTGGAAACACGCTACTAGTACTCTTTATCGCGATACTCGTCGAACATAATCCGCCATAACGATTCCGTCTGATTAGCAAAGTCAAGTAAATGCATATCCCATATAAAAGTAATAAAGTAACAGTGCTACTGCACGAACTAATAAAGTTCTCGTTGTTACAGGTAGATAACCTCTAAAAAATTAAATAATACAAATACCTATTACTGTTTTCAAATTTGCACAAATAACAAGCTTTTCCCTGATTGGCGGAGAAAAAAAAAGATTTTTTGTCAAGCGATAACCTAAATATCAATATTTAAATAAGGTAAGGAAAATGATCGCAAGCGGTTTATCTCCTTTGCTAGCAGTAGCCGATCGGGAGTCCGCTAGGCAGAAGCAGAGACACTGAGAATCCTTCGTTTTGTGTGTGTGTCCCGTCGTCGCAGGCCGCCTCGATATATACAGTTGAATTTTTCGTTTTGTCTCGCCTTGCTTCTGCCTTCGGATCTCCCTTTGCTGCGCGTTCTGCTCTGCCTTGGCCCTTTTGCGTTAAGCCGCACCGCGTGGCAGCACACGGGACAACGAGACGATGGGACGGGATGGGACTGGATAGCGTAAACGTTGCTCCCAGCTTCCTTCTCTTTCATTCTGCTTGGTCCTCTCCCTCTTTCTCAAACTCTCAACGCCATTTTCTTTTCTCTTCCAACCAACAGTCCCTGCCATACGACCATCCCTCTTCCACCTTCGAGACTTGCACCATCTTCTTCGGCCTGCCCTCCCTTCTCATCCACCTCACCAGGACTCTGCTGGTCGCCCGTTGGCGGGCGGGGTATGCGAACGCCGCGATACTATGTTATGCCTCGGACCGCAGGTCTGACATACTTTGTATGTTAATGCCACATAATGTCGGTTTTGTTCCTCTTTTCAACATTTATTTGTTCGGCTCGCTTTTGCGTACGCACCCGTTCCAGCCACGCCGAATATTCCGCAAGACTTCAGGATGAACCTACGTAGGCCCTTGATTAGTGTTCGGGTTTACCGGAAGTTTGGTCGTCCCGGAAATTATCTTCAGTGCATGATGAAAATGCGCTTTCTGACCACCAAGCACGTAAACCATGTTTCTTATTTACCGAACAGATTTTTCTAAAACACCGATAACGATTTATGCTGGGAAATTAAATTGGAAATGCACGTAGAGTCTGTCGTTGACTATTTTTAATATGCGAAATCAGAGGATTCCCAGTAATTGAAAAGAGCGCACTAGCGCCATGTATTATTGAAATAGTAGACGTATTTAATATAGACCTGTTGCATTCGATGTGGCGTTGACAGGTGATGCGAGTCAGAGAATTGTCTCTCGCTCTCGGCGGACTTTGCGGTACTCGCGAGCAAAGTGCTTGCTGGTCGATTCTCTATATCTATATGTATGCATATATAGGTAGGTGTGTATATACTATATATACTATATACAAGCATATAAATGTATCTCGAGTGCACCCATGGCCGAGGGAGTAAACGTAAACGCAAAAGCGCTCGCTCCCGTGCGATGCAAAGACGGGTATAAATAAGCGGCTGTCGTTTGCGGAAGCAGAAAACGGGCAAAAGGACAGAAATAAAGAAGAAGTCGAAGAAGAAAGGGAGGCAGCGACAGAGAAAGGAATAAATAAGTCGAAGAGAAGAGAGAGGACACCCTGACTCTCTGGACGACGCTTGCCGCTTGGTCGCCCGTCGTCCCGATCTGCTACTTTTGCGGAACGATCGCGTCTGGAAACTTTCCACGCTCTCCACGAAACCACGCAGGACCATTTTTGCATTGCTTTACCCGCTATAACCTTATTCGCACTGGATACCCCATGCAGCTGTCCTTTAGTCTATTCAAATACCCGGCTGCGCAACGCGGGACGCGCTTGGCGCTTTCCATAAAAGAAACAGGCGGAGTAAAGGCGTACTAGGATAAGTCTTGGATTCAATTATATTCTAACCTAAATAATCACCGGTGCGACTTCAGTCCTTTCTAGTCTATACGAGTCGCTCCGAAATATTCTCCAACTAACTCACCACGTTAATGGCAGTTATTTAAGAGTCGTGGGAGTCAAGAAATATCTCAAGCCTTCAAATCTAGAGGAAACCAACTGCCCGACGTTCTTCGTATCGCAGCATAAGCGTTTCGTAAGTCACGTGTGTTTCCTCTAGTCCAGAGCGTGAATGACGTATGAGTGGGGTTATCCTTGTGCACGGTAGGGTGCATACTAGGCGTGGGATGTCGAGCAAGGGAACTCCGAAGTTCAAACTTGACTGACTTGAGGACCAGACATTGTCTACTAGTTCTTTGCATTCCATTAAAGATGCCAAAGGCTGACGGGTTTAATGTCTGCAAATGCTTTCATAAGTTTCAGTTCCTTTGTATTTCCAAGTGTCAATGAACGATAAGTTCAGGAAAATAGCATTGCCTAGGAACAAAGCTAAGGCTTGCTTAGTAAAAATTGCCCTAACAAAAAAAATCTACATAAAGGTATGCACGCATGTACGACTCAACGGATCCCCCATTGGTCCGTACGGAACGGAACAGAACGGAACGGAACGGAACGGAACAGAACAGAAGCGAATGCAGCAGAAGCAAACGCTGACTGGACTCAGCATGTTTATTGGCGCATCTCCGAGTCTTAAATCTTTATGTTGTCTCCACGGCGGAGACTGTGCAGCTATCCTCCCTATTCGCTGGTGGAGGACGAGGGAGTCGGTTAGAGGAAGAGTGAGAGATAAAAGGCATACGAGGCGGTAAGTGCGACAGAGACAATTGTACTAGGGAGGCGGTGTCGAACTGTGGATGAGGAAAAGGACGGAACGAGAGACGAAGAAAGGGAAAGAAAGAAGAGAATATATCTCTTGTGTTGCGACCGCGAAATCGAGTCAAGAGTCGAACGAGCAGCGCATCTTCTGCGTTACGCACACAGAAGCTGTGCTTTTAACGTGCTTCCAGGAGGGATTGCCGGTTGCGAAGGTATACCTTCTACAACGTGTTAACGTATCGAGGAGGATTATTGATGGTCATTGGTGACATAACCGGTAACGCCGAGAGCAGTGCCGTACCTGTATCCTCGATCTCCTTTGACATCTCACATTTCTTTACGTCCATTAATTATCGCCCTTGCAGAAACACCCTTAACGGATAGCACACGTTTGGTATATTCTTCATAAAAATTATATCAAGTGTTGACGAATCGTACTTGAGCAATGTGTTAGAATGTAATTTGCGTTATTAGAAATTTCATTGAAGAATATGTTCGTTTGTAATGATTAAGAGCAGTGCTCTTTTTTGTAATTATAGGTAATTTATACCAAGTAGTGAAAGCTTTTGTGATAGTCAGGGCTAGTACTTGATATTCGATAAGATTGACAATCGAAACTTGTAAATAATTGGGTATAATTAAAAAGCTTTAATTGATAACCTCAAAGTGGATCATGTGACAATGCGTGAGGTATCGCCACTTGGGTATACATAGATGCCTATATGGATGTAAAAGGATATACATAGGGATAGGTTAGAGCGACGCAAGTGACCACGATATAATGTACACGCGTGTAACGTATACGGCGTCTCTCCCCGGAGTATGTGAAAATGTGGGCGTAGAGGTGCGTTCGAGCTCGGCTGCTGGCATAACAGTGGGTAAAGGAACAGCAACGATAGAGTGTTATCAGCAGCGTTGGAGGCGGCAGAAAGTTTATAGCCGATACGTGCCGTTTATCGGACGCTATGCTGCATTTAGTTAATTAAACAGCACAGTCAATAGCTGCCGTGGTGGTGTGGCCTCCTGGTGGACTAAGCTCTGGTAACGTCCATTTTCACAGGGAAGACTAAACGTAGGATATGTCATCTACTGAAGGAGTACGCATTACTGGATTAGAGTGATACAGTCGTTAATACCCCGAATTCGCAAGAGATGGCGCCACTCGATACTCGGCTATAATTACAAGCTAAATCATCCGAAGACGATTAAAGGTCACTTATAATGATTATGTACGATTCATTTTTCGAATTCTTTCTCGTGCCTACCTTCGAGTATATAGGTACGTGATGGAATTTATCTATAGGTAATAGGAGCGTCTTCGTGATCTCTTGATCCCACAGGGTCAATCTTACAGAATCTTTTCGACCAATAATATCCAAGCAGTGTCAGGACTTGAGAGTTTTATGGCTTTTCGACTCGGACCTGGTACGATTCATGAGTGGAGGGGCGGCCGTAGCCCAGTGGTTAGGGTAGCGGATTCATGACCGAAAGGTTTGGGGTTCGCGCCTGGCTCCCAGCGGCATTTGTCAATGAGTTTTCATATGAAAACTTAAGTGAGTATATTTATATGAATTTCGTCCAAGACTCTTCGGATTCGGTGTATAAACTCTCTCTCTGTAGGTCGTCCGCATGCTTAGTTGTATAAGGCCCGTCTCGGAAGGTACATCGCCATCTAGTGTCGAACTTCCAATTTTGATTATTAGGACTAGTTACTGGCACATGTTCCCCATTGGGGAGAGGGGGGATACAGTCCCAACGAAAGGAAGGAAGGAAGAAAAGGATTCACGAGTGGACAACGTCGAGGCTACGAAAGAACTAAAACCTGTTAACACAATCGGATTGGCCCGTTTTGGTTTTGACGATCACCAAGTGAATTATCATCGGCGATCGCTGACGCAACAAACTTTCCGACCGGCAACATGATCTCTGACCTTCCAAAGTCACGAGCTGTTTTACGCGGTTACAGCGCGAATCACTAACGGGAATCTGATCAACTGCAAAACGGGGGAGGGGGGGGGCGGGAAATATCGAATGGGGAATGTAAGGCGTACGCTCTCGGGGAGATCGGAATCACACAAAAGTATTTGCCTTCGGTGGACACTGCGCCCTTTGGAACGCTTGGAACTCCGTGCGAGGACTTGCGATAAATAAGCCTTACTTGGATCCTTGATGCGAGTATCGTGACTTTTGAAACTGCTTGTAGGCAATCGATTGCTTACAATAAGGATCCTTCTCAAGGTAAAGAGGTCGCCTATTGCTGAACTGGTCATCACGAAAACCTGACTAATCTATTGGTGTCCGACAGTACGAATGAAAAATCTATTGGCAAATAAAAGACCTTTGTAATATTTGTATGACACTTTGAGGGTATAACGATCTTTATGAATTGTGTAGAGTTACTTGCTTTTGAAAAAAAATAATTTTTTTTGTAATTTACTATTTACTTGTAAGATCACCGAGATACGAGAATGAAGGAAACCGTTGCGTACTCGTCTGTGTAATTAGAGAACCACCTTTGAATTGCATGTTGCTATTGAGACCAACAATGTATTCCAAGCAACGCATTTTAATTGTTCCTTAACGATTTATTTCTTCCTGATCTTGTCTGGCTGGTCGTTGAGAGATAAGCAAGGAGGCATCATGCCGCAGCGAAATCACAAGTATTTCGTTGTGGTATAGTCGACTCGACGTATGCATCATACGTAAACGTGTACAAGAGATGCCGAGTTCCCGTCGGTCGAGACTTAGGATATTACGTAATGGATTTTAGGCTCCCCGTTAGCCATTGCGAAAAAGTGAAATGTTGCAGTTCTGTGTTTCCATTGTTGTTAAGGAGAGCTCTAAAGCGGGGCAAGGTTGCAATCACAAATGTTCAAAAAATATATCATAAGACTTATCGACGAGCCGTCGTTCGAGTAAACGTACCGTTAAATCAAAACTGTTCGAATTTTGAAATCAATTTGTAGGAAAATTGTTGTTCGTACAAGACAGAGGAAAACATTGCGTTCTCATTTGCCAAAATCCCAAGTTAGTTTCACTCAACTGGATCTCCGACCTCCTGGTCTGCCTGGTTTAATTACGTTTGTCATTTTATATCTGGTGTCTCATTATGAAGAAAGTTCGAGTTTACGCCACGTTGCGAACCTAGGTGGCCTCTTTCTGGTAACGGCACCAACCAACCAACCAACCAACCATCCAAACAACCATTGAACCAACCAAGCGACCAGCCAGCCAAGAGCCCCTTTTACCTTACGTATAGCCCTCCGCGTGCCTCTCTTCGCATCGCCGCTCTAGATCTTCGGATAAGAGCGAACACCATTTTAGCGGTTCCTTACACACCAGACATCCGTTCGCTTCCTTCGTGTAACGAGAGCACATTTTCTTCGCGATTTGCCAGCTTGACGCAAATCTCCTAGTGATTTTAATAGATAACCTAGAAAAGTTACTAGGGATCATTACACGTTATGTTCCCTTGGTCATATCGTTATTGGTCGAACAAGTAGGACGCTTCGAGTTGTCTATAATTTTTCGAAATACAAGCCACGTGTTGATAAGTTTGGAACGTGCATTGGTTATACTAAGGTTTTAGGTTAACGCAATCGTTCCGCAAGGAACTGTCGTTTTGTAGTTAATTATTCGTACTCTTTGGGAAAATACTCTCCCTTGTTTCCTTATCTCATCCGTGAGGACCTTTGTCAGGTTCACGAAACAATGATCTCCATATAACAGCAATTTTAACGGCTCTTCAACGGTTCTTTAACCACCAAACACGCTGTGCCGTCCTTTCCGTTCTTTTAACGAGGACGCATGACATCTCCGATATACTTCCGCTGCCTAAAGTCACGTGGGGGTAAACGTTGCCAAGTGCCGAAACAGCACTCGTCCCTTGCTACGCGTAAGATGACGGTGAAATAAAAAAGTTGTAAGTATAACATTTTGTTTTATATAATTCAGCCCTGTGTATGAATTAATATTATTCTTTTTTTTTTATTTCATAATTCCTTTTAGACCCAGCTGAGTTTTCTGCGTGTGATTGTAATCCCCTGTATGAATCCTGCTCAAGAGTCGATTGTACATAAAATCTAAGTTTGCATGCTGATAAGGGAACCCTTGTATATGCTCATGCATATACACCTGGGTAGCTGGTGCACATGAACAGCACCTACGAGGAAAGGTCCCAGCGTGCTGCTAGGTTATGTCTATGCGTATATATGCACGCAGATGCCGTGTGTCGATGTGGGTAGGGTTATTAGCCCAGAAAGCAAGGCCCCCACTTCCGGTGTAGGCACTTTAGTTCGAGAGTTTCTTAACCCCTTCTTACATGACTCTGCCTACCTGGATTGCCCTGGCCTGGCCTGGCCTGGCCTGTCGGTTGCGGGCGGTAGGATACCATAGAGACGTAGCCCGTAGGAAAGGATATAGGGTAGGGTCGCCAGTAGCGAACCACTATTTTTTTCACCTTAGGTGCTCGCATTAACAAGATGGAAACGAATCATTATGGAAACCACGCAGCTTACTTAATTCGAATTAATACCACAGAACAGATATACGTATATGGAATGTCCTTGAACAATTTGATAAATTCTTCGAAAATTATAGAACGTTAATTGTTGAATTTCAATGATTGTTGACTTTCATCCTTATGCACTGCATCTATATCTATATACATTTTAAATTATTGTCAACTAACAAAGATTGCTTGTACAGAGCTACGGGTGTTCTTTAGAAATCAAAGCTATTTTTTATTTTATTTGACAATATTATTTTGCATTTTTGTGTATTTGACTATTGTTTTATTGGGAGGGGCCCTAACCCTATTGTACCCGTTAATCGGTTCGCCACTGTCGGTCACACATTGTGACTCGCTCGGGTCACAGGTGAGAGATTTAAGAGTCCCTCAGACTTTGTTATACTAGGAATTATCCAGGAAGTGAGACTGAATTAATCTTATACACGGACTGTATATTGATTTCTTATGATTTGTCTAAAAATTATGAAAAATTTATTATCACTCGAATTTCTTAATCCAATTCTTATTTACGCGAAGGATTAAATCTTTTTTGAATCCTCGATATTTTAAAGGTAAGTCAATCAGCATCTCAAGATATAATTTTCTTTGTTTCTGTATAAACATACGTCACTCTTGAACATCGTCGGACTTCATCCCTTAAATCATTTCGTTCCGTCTTTATCAGCTTTTCTGGGAACTTAACGAAGATGAAGAAATTATGGCAATAAGAAGTATCGCAATGTCGGAAACGGTAATGCCCGGGAAGCATACGGTTCTCAAAGGGTTAATTGGGCATAGTAACTCTTCAGGTGACCAAGCGCCATGGGAGTGGAACGGAGAAAACTAGGTTTCGTACATTACATATAGATAGAAGCTGCAGCGTCTTATAGATTTTCATTTAGCTACAGCATTAAATATCCTTGTAAATTAATGCCTCTCGTACCCACGCCGTAGGTAACAGTACATCCAAGCGGAATGTCCACGTACGTGGCTACAACCTTAATACAACATACGAAGTGACGGGGTTCATTGAAAACTCGATGTCTTTCTCAGAACGCACAAATAACATAACCTATACGAGTACCCGTAAGTAAATTCAACCCCTTTAAAGCGAAAGCGGGAAATTCGAATCCAGACTAATTGGATCCTCTTGAATTTATCATGTTGATGCTAAATGATGTGATCCCAACAAACTTATGTATATATGTAGTATATCCTCGCGTGTCGGTTCTCGGAGTTCTCTGAGGTCGCAGAGGAGTCGTAGCTTCGCTCAGGAACGAAGTACCTGCCGGTGTAAGTCAGCACTCAGGATATTTCGTCATTTCCTGCTTCTCACGCGATACAATCTAAATTAACAATGTTCGCTTGGCTAGGCCTCCTCCCTCGCACTCGCATCTCAGAAAATTTCTTATTTCCTAGCCGCCGCGAATGGCTCCCGCCGTAAGGCTTCTTGAACTCCCTGCGCCCGGAGGCTTTCACAATGCTCCCGTTTTGCGGCGGGCAAAGGCCGCGATAATTCACCTGGAAAATCTCCCTCCAGCGGACCCGACCACCGGAAGGATTTACCTTTTTTTTTCTCCTTGTCCCTCCCCTCTCTTCATTTCGTCCCGTGAATTTACGAGAACCCGCGGCAGAGTTCGCGAAGTTTAAATGGCCGAGCGAGTCGCACAGTTTGTTTTCCGGATGAGGTATTACATGGGTGTTGGTGTATGCGAAGGAAAGGGGCTGTGTTATTATTATTTTTTTTTTTTTCGTCAGACAACATTATCTCTAGTTTGATACGAAGGGTGGTCCTGGTTACTGGGGCGGACGAGAGAACGGATGGGTGAAATTAATTAAACGAATTTCGTAGTGTCTCCAATGTAAGTCTGGTACCTTCGCGCAAGTCATGCCGGGTCCTTGCGGTGCGAACAGTTCTTTATTTCTCGAAAGTCATTAGCCGCTTGAAATATCGTCCTGACGATCGCTATTGATACGGCCCAATGAAATCCACTCTACGACTTTTGTCCCGGTGACTTGTTATCCTCCATTTTTAATTTCAGACTGCATTCTTTCTTGCGGCCAACGACAGTTTTAACGTCGCTTGCCGTACGGCCGCTTATGCACGCGCCCTGAACAATTTGGCCGATGGCTGACCAGCACTGGACCGCACTACTTTCAAGAGGTGGCCCAGGTTATACGCTGCACGAGCTCAATCGTTGCGATGGTTACACGAAATAATTGCTTATATAAATTGTAGGGTTTAACATAAACAAAAAAAAAAATTGAGTAAAAACATTTAAGCAGATTTATCGATAAGAATTAAATTCACGATAATATACGTATATACGTAAGTATGCAATTTTTAATATTTTAATTTGATTTTGTATGAAAAAAATTTTAAGGAAAAAAAAAATTCAAATATAATTATCATGAAATTCTGGAGTATGGAATATCGGATACGTGAATTGATACGAGTCAATGGGGAATTCTGGTATACTAATTTTACGAGTATCCAAGAAAAAGTATTCATTGTAATTTCATCATTGTAATTTTGAAAAACTATAAATCCAGTCAAATCGTCCCAATGACAATTCACATTAGGAATCGTACCGATAAGGCCAGAGAGAGTCACTAACTAACGATCAGAGACAAGGCGAAACAAAACTGTATAATCTTAGTCCTGGCAAATCGCAGCCTTGTGGCTTCTAACAAATTAACGGCCGATCAGGCCTGTTCTGCCGTTGGCTCCACCTCTCGACTGTACAGACCCAGCTTACGTATAACCAGCCCGAGAGAGATCATTTTTGCCACGTATTTGCAAACTGAATAATAAATACGCGGATACGCGACTCTTCGCGTTCCGCCTTCACGCAGGTCGCGCTACGCGCGGATTGGTCCTGGCTGCCGCGAGGGGACGGCGATATTCATTCCCCTGTGCTCTCCGGACTTACTTTATACCCGCACACATCGCGACACACCTGCGCCTCTATCACTATAGATACGTATGTATACGTATATCGACTACGTACTTTGGTGCACGCTTCACTGGAGGCCGGCTTTACGCTCAGTCTCTTCGCTCTTCGCTCTTTGCCTTGCCGGATTTTCCGTCTTTGCTTGTTTAGAATTTTTCCAAATTTCCACGATATTCCTTCTCGCCATGTACATTTACTATACCGTACCCACTCGTCGAGCGCTGGTAGACATTGTAGGGATAGGAAAAAGAAGCAAGACTCGTTTACCTGGTGCCATTTTGTCTTTGGAGCGTCGGGTACGTTCTTGTGGAGAACGAGTATTTGTAATGCGGGATGAATTTGAATTATTTTGATTTTTGTCGATGGATTGAATTTTTTTTATTTTTTTTTATTTTTTTTTTTTTTTATAGGAAATATCGTGGACTGAATCTACTTCGCGTAGAGTTGGACGCAAGGAACCGTGAGCGTATGGTTGAGGTAGTTATGGTTCGGTTTACATTCTTTTAAATATTCTATTTTTCTTTATTCTGATTTGTATTCACTCACCTGCGTTACGGTCTCGTATTATACATGGATTATACGCGTGCATGCGCGTGCACATGCACGGTACGTTCTTTGATGCACGCTCGAGTAAGGCTCACTGACGTTATTTATATTTTTCTTTTGTTGCTGCTGGTTTTAGTGAATAATTACTGCCACCTTTATTTCCTTGTGTAACTATGGGGTGGTAATCTTGATTACTGTAAATATTATAAATGTTTCCTATGCAATCTCTCAATTGAGTTTTAGATATTTTTCAATTTTATATGAATGATTTGAAACATTTTTGTAAGGGAGGTCCTGTCTTTTTCGAATCTTGTCATTTTTACTGAAATTGTATTCCGAGGCTATGTATATGTGAGGGAAGGTGCATTGGGGTCTTATGGACCCCAGTAATCATTCTCATAGGTCTTAAGCCAATTCTCAGAGAGAGGGCCTTTCTCTTCGTGTGCTAATCGATCCGCTTCCTACGCTTGTAATTATGTAACGGGGTCTTAGGAACCCCAAGAGGGCGAATTCAGCATGTCCACATACAACTTCCTTCCTTCTTATCTATGGAAGTATCATATTTAAACCCTACAATGTAAAGAGTGTTTAACGCACTTTCACTTGTTTGAAAATTCAGTCACGTTAATACGAAACGACCCTTGATGTGATTTGAAAACTGTTTCAAGTACCATTGTTCAAATGTCAGAAATACTGCGATAGAATGGAATAAAAAGTTTGCTGAAGAGTCTTAAAAAATGATCCCACAAGTCATAATGAAAATTGTTTCAAAATCAAACCGTACCTCCAAAACTAGAAAATTCCCCAAAAAAATGATGACAGTATTCGAATTAATTTTCCTTGCAATTTTTTGATGAAAATCCAAATATTTCTCGCAAGTCCGTTTCGTCAAAAGCACAAAAGTGGTGCAGCGACCGCAGCACCAATGAAAACTCGCCATCCGTCTATAATGCTGGGTGTGCGGTGTAAGTACGACAAATAAGTCACCTGATGCCAACAGATGAGCGTAGTATCGAGGTGACTACTCGGAACGAGCGGATCTACAGGATACAAGTAAGAGGGAGCAACAGAGACTGCATGACTGAGTGAGCGACCAAGCAGGCAAGCAAAGCAAGGTAGGAACTTCCAAGAGGCAAACGAGCGAGTGAGCGAGCTAGCGAACGAGCGAGCAAAGGAAGGTTCTCCCGTCGCTCGCACAGCCGCAGTGGTTTGCCGATCGCGAGTCGCAAGTCACCTCCGTTCACCTCACGGTGCTCAGTCCGTTCGAATCGTGCACCAGGAAAGACGCAAGACGGTACACGCGAGCCGGGCTCGCCGGGCACTGGGCACGTTGCGTTACAATCCCATGACAGCGAGCGATAATAATTGAGAGAGCGGGAGAGACGGTTAGTGGAGAGGAAAAGAAGAGGAGAGAGAGAGAGAGAGAGAGAGCGAAGGAACGATTGAAAGCGCGCGAAAGAGAGCAAGAGCATGGAGTGTATAGAGAAGAAGAGAGAGGAAGAGAGAAAATAAAGAATCAAGAGAAATCAAACATCGAGGAAGATCGATCTATCGTTGATCTCGATTTAAATCGTCTCGAGGTGCTCGTCGTGGGATTCCTAAAGCTCGTGAAACATCAAACACTTACCATTGTTGAGGATTGTGATTGGTGGTTAAGAACGGTGTCCGCTGTGCGCCGATCGCCGATCAGTACGACGTTATTATGTCACACTCCCACGCGAGCGACGACGCTCGCCATTGCCGCCACTGCCGTCGCTACTGCTGCTTTACCTAATACCTCGACTGACGTTTCTCTCCTTGAAGAAGTACGCGATTATCCTCCTGTAGTGCAAACTGTGGTGTAACCCGGGCGCGACCGTTACTTCGTCGTCAGTTTTTAGTTTTTCAAATCGCCGGAGTTTTCATCGAGACGACGTGTAACGACCTGTGTTTCTCTACTGCGACGTTATATATGCTCTTTGTTTTCGTGATTCTTTTGGACTTCCTTTTCGTTCTTTCTTTCCATTTTCCTTTTATTTCTTAACCATTCCGCAAGGATATTCCACGAATACGATCACGAAACTGTCGCGCGGATCACTCACGTGAATAAAGTGTACTCGTGTCGTCGTCGCAAGACTCGTCGTAACGCCAGTTCTCAAAGTCAGTGTTTTTACGGGTTGTGATTGCGACTGTCGTTATTCTCGAGGATGGGCGTTCTGGCGACACAACACGCCGCCTCCCTCCTCCCTCTGACGAACCGATGAGAACGCTTTTGTTTTCATCGAAGTGTAACTCGCTCGAAGGTAAAGCCAAACATACAGAGAAACAAAATACGATGAAATATACTAAGAATTTATTTGAACGCGTGAGAATAGATAAGGGTTTCCTTATAAAACTTTCATCTGTCGTAGACGTTTTATCCCACTCGTACCTACACACACTGTCTTCCTTGAAATCAATAATGAGCCGTAAATCTTCATGAGAATTCTATTGTAACGTTGACAGTGTGACTCACTGTCGGTAGCGGGGGCGAGAAGGATTTACTTAGGGTTTGGCACACGATCGCCTATAGGAAGAAAAGGTACGAAATACCATGAATAATTTTTATTAAAAATCCTAGCTAAGGGTAATGAGCGTGAAAAGCATTCTGACTCGGTGGCCCGACGTGTCGTGGGCGTAGTAAGTAATTACGCTGGGGTTATGTTGCATTGAAAATAATTCGACGACCTCTAATTAGCGTCCCCACGAGAGCGCGACGAGTTTTCATCATTATTGATGAATTATCATTTGCCGCGAGACGGTTGAGACGTTGATGGTCCGAGAAGGTTTCAAGATAGAGGACTATGAATTTTTCCCTAAGAATAAAAAATTTTCTCTTATCAATAAAAAAAATTAAACCTGGTTGCAGTCTCTTCTTGCGCTAATTACTTTAACGACTTATGTTCTTCAATGTACGTGCAATACACTCGTATGCCACTCCTACATATTTGCCTCTTCATATGGTATTTCTTTGCATAGATTGCGCCAGATATATTTATTCGACACGCTTATCAAATCCCTTTCTCACAGTACCTTCTTGATAACGGATATTCGATTAAAAAATTATTTCTCTCCTTAAATTCGTCTTCATTCGATAGGGACTTGAGGACAAAGGAATCAGTACATTTGGACGGGACGAAGAATCACGGTTAACGGCAGCCTAAGGATAGGTTTGATCTATAGATCTGGAGAAATGGTACACACCTCGAAATATCGTGGGATTCTGGTAGCATATTACACTAGATGGTTATGTACTGGCTCGTACGAATAACTGTTCGATCTCTATGCAAAGTTAATACAAAAACAGAATTCCACCGTGGATAATTCTTCGGGAGAGATTTATTACTTTTTTAGTCACTCTGCAATCTTTTTATAGACTTCAATACCGTCTGGAGGAAAAATGGAGATTAATAATAATAATGATCGAGCCAAATCTCACATGGGTCTTTTGAGGACGAATATTTATCATGTAGAAACGTATGTACGAAAGCATTAAATAAAGTCAGTGATTTATATCTAGCCTCAGCAATGCGCGAGTATGCTTACGTATGTTTGTATCGCTAACGGAGGTCTCAATCGTGGCAAGACATAACCCAATAATAATCATAACGTCAGATCGATACACGATAGACGTTGTATCGACTGGTGGATGTCATTACAAGGATGGATGCATCAAAGTCAAGAATGCTTCGGTGTCGTGTGTCGCTACCGTGAAAATCGTCTTAAACAATAGAATTTCGTAGTACTACGTTACCATTTTACAAACCGTTGATAATCAACATTGCCTAATCAACACAACGAATGACTCGTATGTTAAATAAATGTAGAAAAAAAAAAAAAATATTTATCAATAATACGAAATACAATTTTCAATGCCTAGGATTGAAATTCTAATTGTTAATTAGGTATCAGACAAAAGTCTAACCTTGTAGAAAAGGGACGCGTGATTACCAGCGTTTTGCAACTTACCTACAAACTGTCAAATGACCCGTGATTCCTGTTGCACAGACCTCGAAGTGTATCGCTTCTACGAACCGTTGTATTATTGTCATCGTCACAGCCGACATTTTGCAGTAACTTCCAAGTAACGTCATAGTAACTCGCGAGTTACCTTTTACATCAGCATGACGAAGGTTGCAGTCAGAAAGTAAAGACGAAGGTATAAGGATACGAGCTAGGTTAGAAAGACTAATGGCGACGCACAAGTAAAGAGGGGTATACGTACGTACGTAGGACGGTGACGTTCCGCGCGCATCCACATGCTGGAAGCCAATAATTAAGCCGAGTCGTTTGAATTGTAATATTGCTATGAGAGTTCTCACGCGTCCATATTGAAAGTTACTACTAATTAGGGAGGTAAAGGTGCAACGTTACCGTTGCCCCGACTAACTGTATCGTAACCGTAGCTTCTAGGTTAGTTTACAGCCAAGACTGTTAGGAGCTGTGATTAACGTTCTATCGACATTAACCGGAGATTCCAATTATCGCAGGTTCGGAGGAAGATCCTCGAAACGTCTCGAGAGTTAACCTAGATCCTTCGAATTTTTCTAAATATGGAAACCCTTTCGTATTCTCACTCGTGACACGTTGCCCATTGTTTATTTTCATTGGAAGCAGCATATCTCGTGCGGTATTTTAATGACGTCCTGGTGAATTATGAAGGTGAAATATTAGTATAAAGAAGGAGAGGAAGAAAAAAAGAGAAATTTATTAAGCCGATTTATAATAGCGGATGGACAATATCAAAGTGGGAGGAGTTATCGTAACAGTCGAAGAAAGTAATGGATGCTCAAAGGCCAAAAACTGTAAAGGTAAAGGGGCCGCGCGAGTGACGTTGCTTTTTTGTTAACGCGCGGCCGAGCGTATCGGTTTAAAAGAGGAACCGGGGAGTGTTCATACTGGTTAAACGCTTGTGAAATGGATGGTACGCCAAAGAAAAGCGAAGCAGTGCTAATATATGGATGCCCATGGGTGGAATTTGGCCGAGATGTGCCAGCGTTACCATCATGCTGTACCAGCAGCCCAGCAGAACTCATCACCAGCTAGGGACCAAGTGCAGGGCCTTACCAGTGGGACTCACATCGAGCAGCCCAATCAGGCCTCCTATTCGCATTACACGTGAGACATTCATTTTTCTATTAACGGCTATGCGATATTTAGTTTATGGCTTTCCCGGTAGATCGCGCCAGCAGATTGTTCGGGGGGTTGCCGTCTAGCGGATAGACGAGGAATTCTCATGCTGTGACGCGCGCACGGCATCGGCTATACACGGAATTGTATTATATTATATTGCATATTAATAACGATATGGCGAATTAGGGATAAGTATACGATTCCGCGGTCAGGCCAGGTAATCCTGTTATTAGTACGCCGATTAGGGGAAGATCATCTTCAGGCAAATTACAGGGGCGTAACCCACTGTTTGGTTAACGTAATCGGCAATCACTATCGCTGATCCGCGCAAGTCCTATAGGGAGTGCGTTTCTCTTAACCCTGGAAGAACTTTTTCTTTCTTTATTTACATCGTTCTCGATTACCGGACTCCCGCTCGTCTCTGACGGTTACTCGCGAGGCTAGTTATCTTTGGTATTTCGCAAATTTTACACTCTAACCCATATCGATCCGTTTGAAAAGAAACTGCAGAGTGCTGCTCAAAGATTGCAGTACAGTCGTTTAAAATTACAACTGACGGTATTATTGCATTGTAAATTCCTTCGCTAAGAATTGCTCTTTGCCTCGTATAATTCACTCGGCTTTTATTGCCCTACGCATGTCTTCGCACGGTAATATTTTTCTTCGTTTGACGGATCGTCGTGGCGACGAAAATTGTTCTCATTAAAATTGTTCCGCTCTGTTCCATACGGTGCTCACGGCCGTCGCACGGAACGCGAACCCGTATCAACATATCTGTACATTTGCGCTCGATACGATTGACCCTCCTAACCTATATATTAATATAAACAAGTATTTCTGTGATATATCCAAAATCAATGATTTGTTACGTAAGTGATAGAATTTTTTTTTTCTTTTTTTCTTCAAGTAGCCTCACTTTTATTATGGTCGTAGGATCCTGCGATACAATATTTGAAATTGGTCGTTGCTGGATATGAGAAAAATACATTGGTCATTTCTATTCATAAGATCGCAACGGTAAGTCTTGTCGTTCCTTTAGACTCGGCACACTCATCGTTTTCATACACAACGGAATTTTCGTTCGATTTCCATGACGCGATGGTATCACGGGAAGTCCACACATCGAATTCATATGAACTCCCTACGGTTTAGCACAGCATGTACGACCACTGAATTAAACAGGATAAAGGATTTTCCTTATAGATGCAAGATACGATATAACTGCCAGCACATCCTGGTGAAATATAAAAATTTCAACGATAACAGAATAGAATGAAAAGAAAAAAGACACGCTTCTTAGTCGATGGCTCAAGTCTCTTTTTGCATAGCGATGATCGAAAGTCCAAACAACAAGGCCGATTTCCAAACACTGATTGTACCAGGGGAAACGTCAATAATTCCACGAACGACACACTGCGCGTCGGCCTTTACGCGTCGCTCATTCTTGGTAAATCGTGTCGCGGTTTGTTTCGCGAAGAAAAAATAACACACGATACGCACGCGCGCGCGAATAAATGCGCCCTCGGAAATGCCTTCTCTGGTTGTTGGTGAAAAAAGAAAAAAAAAAAAAGAAAAGAAACTAAAATCCCATCGCGACCTCGCTCTAATGTAATTTACGGGCGCTCGGTTTCGTCCTCGCACGAAATCTTCCCGATTCCCGACGATCGGGGGAACCGACGATGAGTCAGAATTGCGACGTGAATTTTGCGGAGGTTGGGGTGAAAGGCACCGATGGATTTATGGAGTTCCGACGGAATTAATTCGAGCCGAAGAAACGCATTATTTCCATTCTAAACTGTAACCATTGTCGACGGACGTGTCACGTTTAGTGAAAATTCCATCACTCGAGCTCACCAATCTCCCGTGACATTTTTTCCACGTAAATTCTTATACGACGGATCCGCAGCAGTTGGTAATCCTTACAAGCACCTGTAATGATAATGATTTTATTCATTTAAAAAATCGTGTAATGCTTTTGGAGATCCTATTGCATCGTCCTCAAATCTTAACCGATCGAACGTTAGTAGTGCAGAGGTGAGCGACTGGGGTCGCCACTTCCGCTTACCAAGTGAACCGCATTGGTCATTCGATTTAAAAGTTTAATCAGGGCCTACAAAATTACAGTTCCTGCAGTTACGTACTCCGTTGCTCGTGGTCGCTTATACGAGGGTGTGTTTGATCCTGTGTTATTTGAATAAAATGCGCCAAATTTGTCCCGGGAATGCATCGGCGCTTCATTGTCAGTTACGTGTCTGAATATTGACATGTATAAGAATATTTATTCAGCATACTTTCTACTTTGAGTCACGGGATACTTGAAGTGTGAAAAAAAATATTAAAAAAAAAAGAAAAGATTTTCACCAACGGCACTAATCAGCTTTAACGTAAAATTTATGAAAGATCATAAGATTACGTCATTAAAAAATTTAAGGATTGATTATTAATTTTTTTTTTTGTTTTCAAAAAAATTTATCAAAATCTCAACGGTCTCCACATTATACAGTTTCAAAGCATTCTCGTGCACCGATCACCGCACGCAGTTTATAAACAGTCGAATTAATTTCTTACAAGCGTACCAATAGTGTGTTGTGTCGCACCGCCATTATCACTTGTTTCGATTGACACGCTCAATAACAATAGGATTCTCAAGTCTAATGTATTACGGCATTGTTAAGAGACGTTCACCTCTCGCGTTAGCTCGTTATTCGCAATTTCGATAATTTACCCTGAAAAAGACGTTCTCGATCAACCAAGATCGGTAACATGTTCCGCCTCGCTTTATGCCTACTAAATCACACGGGGGACGTTAATTGCCAAGCAGAATACAAGTCAGCCGATATAAGTAGGCGTTTAAATCAACACTGATCGAATCATCAAAGGATCGTCGATCGATCGTACCAACTTGATAAATCGTGATCACGATCCCAATCAAACTCCTCTTATACCTGAACCTTATACGAGCAATAATCACAGCATGAAAATTAGCAAGGGGCAAGTATCGAAGAGTGGACTATATATACGTATACTCTGTGCAGTCGAGATTCAACAACAGTTCATAACCGGTAGCTCACCGGCACCAATCCATAACCCAGCCACAGATGTAAATCTAAAATGCTTCCCTTCGCCAGATACCAATTTAGATATACCGTAGTCTACCTGACAAGTGTCTGGATCCTTCAGTACGTATCGCATAGAGCTCCAATATTTAATTCTCGCTATGGCTACCGCGGTAGATACGTTACGCGTTTCTCATTTTTAGTTTTATTTACATCCCCACGGCATTCACCGGACTGCTCCCGTCCCCAGAAGACCCAAGACGCACGGCTGTATCTCCTTCCTTTAATTAGGGGACCCGCGGCGGCCTGGACTTCCCGTGTCGCTAGGACGAAAATCCCTTCACGTGCGTCTCCATGCCTGGTTGGACGTTGAAGGATCGCCTTGAAGATCTCGCATTTAAGCATTGACTTCGCGACTCGTCTGGCATGCGAGAACCCACGATCGAACTGTAATCGGTTGCGTTATCGGGTTCCAAACGACACCAAGATGAGAAACGTATGCGATATCCAGTAGCTATGGCCGTGGAGTTGCTGCCACTTTCTAGCAGACATACGATATTGCACACAGTAAAATTTCCATAGTTAATATAGTTTTATACATAAATTCTAATACATTGAGAAGAAAAACTTTGATTAGCCACAATATATATCGTTCGTATACACTCGAAGGGAATTTGAAGTAGCAAAAAGCGCGCAGCTCACGCGTGTCGCTCACGCGGTGCACCGTAAACGTCAAAGAAGTGAGACTAGCCGTAGTAGCCGGGATCACGTCTACCCGAAGTGGCGGTAGCTTTTATTGAATGAAAATGCCGCTACGTTTTTGCCCCCATCAGCATCTCGCGAACGGAATGAAACAATGGCCATTATATGGAACACGCATGTGCGCCAGTACATAGAGCGTTGTATCGGTACATATGGGATCACGTGTGTATCGCGCACTTGTATTATACGTATATATTTATTTATTTCCAAGACTCTCTGTATAATCGCCATTCACATAGAGAGAGGTTAGTACGGCTACGTATATATAGCAATGCACGAGACAGCTGTTCCTACTATTATATACCTACCTGCCCGGTCACATTATGCCTTAAGGACAATCGTGGGAATTCCATTAAGTGGCCTTGAATGGTTCATTCATGTCGATCAACTCTTTTCCTAACGGGGTTGACAGATCAATCGTGCGGGCGACGCTGCCATCCGTAGGATCGTGCGGACTCCTCTTCTCCGTTCCCAAGTCAATTATACCCTGGCGTAGCCGTAACGCCGGACTCCTACGGCGACGATCCTTCGACTCGCTTAGCTCTACGCTCCTATAAATATGTCCCCGGGGAGCAATTGACTCTCTTGATAATCGAAAATTCATTGGACATATATATATATATATATATATATATATGTATACCATACGACGATTTGCCTTGAATGACAACCGCTTGTCGTTTCCGTTCGAACGTCGAGACATTCATCTGTGACTTTTTTGTTTCTTTTGATGTCTCTTGTACTCTTTTTTTTATTTTTTTTTTTATTTTTACCGCTTTCCCTCCCCTCGCTCTTTCGTTCATCCCGTAAGCCGGCACGATACGGGGGAGGCAAAATTCACGAATTATTCGCGGATTCTCAGGAATGACGTCTGATTATTTTTTGGTCTACTTTTATTTTCTATTCAGGATGCTGGACAATTATGACCGGGGCGAAGTGACACCACCGCCAGTGAGCAGCTACGGCGGCTCTCCAGGGCTTCTCGCGTTGCATTCCTCGCTCTACGCGACCCCCGCTTCGAGGGCCTTCGACATAGACTCGAACATCGATGGGAACGAGAGCTCAATGCCGGTCGACACTCAAATCATACCGGTATGTTTCAATGCGACTTCAATTTATTGGATTGGCATGACGTGCGCATCTACCAGTTTTGATCTCTAGGGATTTTATATTCCCTTTCAGATACCAAGCATGCTGAGCGGTCCGGCTCAGCAGAGACTGGAGGACATGTCCTGGCTCTCGTCCGCTCCATCTATGGACTATCAGCAGGGCATGCCTACGTTATCGTCCGGCGTCAAGATGTGCCATCCTGGCAGCTCGGCTCAACGCAGTCTAAAGGAGCAGAGGATACGAAGGCCGATGAATGCCTTCATGGTTTGGGCTAAGGTCGAGCGCAAGAAACTCGCCGATGAGAATCCTGACCTCCACAACGCGGACCTCAGCAAGATGCTCGGTGAGTGAGAGGATCCTTTTTTTCTGTTCACTTATGCTGTACTATGTCAGCCGTGCTGGGTAGGCTTCGTTAGGCCTTTTCAGAGTAGAAAAATAATCTGGGTAAAAGTTTGCCTGGGAACGAGAAAGCTTGATAAAACTCTGCGTCTCGTTACTATCCCATATTAAGGTAATCATGTCGAAGGATTAGAGATTGCTATGCGATACTTAGGTGTAGAGAAAAAAAAAGACGGAAACTATTCCGTCCACGGTAGTGTCGGGGTTATTCGCGATTCTCGCACGAGCGGGAAGTCTTCCTCTCGAGTTACATATATTTCTTCGTTATGTATTATTGGCTTCCGTGCTGGAAAAAAAACAAAAAAAAAACGATAGAAATGCCAGAAAGATAATTTTTTGAAAACTTAAAAAAAAAACATTTGTGTTTTCCTATATTATTTCACTTACGAATTTTGTCCTTACTCCGCTCCCTTATGCTCTTTCAGGTTTTTCGGTATTTTATATGTTCACCGTGAGTGCGAGGGAGACGTACTTATGGGCATTGCGTGCGTAAGAGAAGGACAGACATAACGATTGCTCAAATTTCGTAAACGAGATTCTCGTCCTTCGGATAATGAACAATGATATAAATTATTTCTTTAATTTCTCTACAAGGTGTACATTTTTTTTTTTTTGTAACCGAATGACAATTGTATCGGGTGTAAAATAATTGTCGAACCCAATCATGTATATTCGCATGATACGACATTTTACACAGTCTTTAAGGATTCTTGAGAAAAATCATCGGAATGTCTTTGTACTATCGGAACACGTGTAAACAGAGGGGGAGACAAGAAAGAAGAAAAAAAATGTTCGCAAAAACACATGGACGCTCTCATTTCTTACCTATCGTACAGTGCGGACCCTGTCACCGTCTTAGACGCGTTATCGCTCGTACCTTGAATTATTGGCAATCGGCAGTCCGAGCGTTATTGGCACCTCAGCGGTGCACGTACGTTACTAGTAGCGCAGGAAAATTGCAAATTCTCCGTGTATATATCCAAGGAGGCAAAATACGTCGATTACAGTCGATCCCAATTTTCGCGAGCGCAACGGCTCTCAGCGATAACGAGGATCGTTAATCAAACTCTGTCCGAAAGTTTTCTTATCGAAGTCCGAACGGTACCGTGATAGGAAGAAGTAAAAGAAAAAATATTCTTATCAAAACGAACGCTAGACCGTCATCGTTGAAATTAATCTCACGTGAGTTTCCTGTTACCGCGATATATTATTCAGTCTCGGCTCTTTCGTACTCGAGTAAATCTCAGCCTGGTAGATTTCTCTTATCAGCATGAAAGGCCGTGAGTTATCGATCGAACATTAGGCGATCGGCACGATGTTATTGGTATGACGCGGCTCCGATTACTATGCACATCGAGTGTTGCCGCCCCCACTTTTCTTTTTTTCCAGACATCCTACATATTCATGCGCGTGCTGTATGTCGATCCGTCCGTCCGTCCGTCCGTCCGTCCGTCCATCCTTGCATATCCACCTATCCACATAGCCGTATATCCTCGTACGTACGTACGCGCGCGCATGCGCGCACAGAGAGACGAAAGGATTCCTGTGTAACAATACACGCACGATTCTCATATGGCTGGTAGGAGGGTACACGTATGCTTTTGCGGTCCCTCGATGAGCCAGGAGTATAGGAGTATGTGCGCCGAGAGGTGGACGGTTCTGTAGTTGGGGAGAAGGCATTACACGAACGAGCCGATGAGCCGTGTGGGCCTTATATCCGGTGACACGCGTGCCCGCGCATCTTTATTAATCATTCACCGACCGTTACCTCGGCATCGGACTCGTATGTCAACATTAGAAGCTGTTAAAGGGTAGCCGAAGCTTCTTCGTGGCGGTTCGAGGAGGACGGAGAGGGGTACCGAGGTAAAGAGAACAAAAAAGTGGGAGATTTCCTATATCGAGGAAAAAATAAATATTGCTTTCAAATTTCCCGCTCGTCCGCTGAAACGAGACGAGACCGTTCTCTCTTGCGTTAGGCTGCACCTTGCTCAACCTTCCTCGCGGCGGATACGGGTCGGTCGATAGGCGCGCGAAACGCGAAAGGATCCTATTTCCGGTGAGGATAATTGTCTCTCTCTCTCTCTCTCTCTCTCTCTCTCTCTCCCTCTCTCTCTCTCCCTGTCTCACCAACAGGACGCTCCTTGTTTCCATAACCTTTTTTTTCCATCCCTCGCGTACCTTCGTAATCGAGCCTCTTGGGTCATTTCGAACGATAGTAATCCAGTAGTCGAGAACGTCGTTACGCAAACTGCGTCCCTTCCTCGGCCGAGACTCGGCTGCCGCGCCTCGACGTGCAGCGTCGCGCCACGTTTCTCGTAGCCCGACTCTCGGGCTTTGCACGTCGGTTTAGCGTGGCGTTACCCGACGCCACTGCGAGAAGACCACCTACGACAAATGTGCCGGCGCGCGAATAATACCAGCCGTGTACCGGCGACAGGAGAGATAGGGGGTCTAACCGCTAACAGTATCCTGGTTTAGTGCCTCTGATTACCGTAGGTTACGGGGGATCGAACTCTGAACCTCCGTCCTACGAAACGTAGGCGGGTCTCTGCGCCTGTGTGTCTTCTGCGGGATACATGGATTATTACACGAGCGCGGGGGCCTCGCCGGTGGTACCTACACGTGCACGTGCTACATGCAGCGCCTATCTTTGTAACGCGTTAAATTTCAGCTACGCGGTGACAGTGGGGTCTCTCTTGACCCCGAGGCGACCTTTCACGCGCCAGCCTCGCGAGCGGGAATTAATATCGTAGCGACGTATGACGCTCGCGCGGAATACGAGGATATTTATTGCGGAACGCCCGTTGCCTCATCGAATATGCAAAGGACGAGTGGCGAGAGAGGAGGGTGTACAGCGATGATAGAAAGTGAGAGAGAGAGAGAAAGTCAGGGAAAATCCTTTTATTTCTCCGTATTAATGTGCCATGACGAAAGTGTCGAAGATTCGACGATTGTCATCCGGTCCTTGTATCCTTACGGTATCATTGACCAGTCGGCTAACTGTATGGTCCAAGTACACCCTGAGGTCTCTATTGTATTTTCTATCCTTACCTTCCGCTACGATGCTACCCTGCTGCTGTCTCCGTTGACTATCCAATACCGGTAGACAAGATCGTGCCCTAATCGTATAATGGCTCACGTACCCAGAGATCGACTGGTCTAGCACCGGCCAAGAGAATGGACTGGAAGGAAGAGGCGCGCGGAGTATCTCGGAGCGTGCTCAAGGGCCAGCCGTGTCTGGTCTCTGAGCAATAATGAACCGTAAGACAAGATCGGGCTCAATAATTGCGCATACATATAAAATGAGAAGGGAGCCAGGGGAGATCGACTGTCCGGAGAATATACAGGGAGAACGAGACGAGCGGTTGTGGTGCCTGAGAGGTTGGGGGATAGATCGACGAACGGATGGATGGACAGACAGACGTATATAGGGACGCAGAGACCGTCGGAGGAACCAACGGGTTGGCTAAGCTGAGCAATAATAAGCCATAAGCGCGGTCTCTGCATAGAATGCCGGGTAATGAGGTGGAGTCGAGCGGAGTCTGGCCGCACCCTTACCTTACCTTCCTTACCTTACCGACGCACACACGGCCGCGACCCACCTATTCCGACGACGACGACGAGATTACAACATCGTGTAGATTTACCTCGGGAGAGAAATAAATTATTATATTTATGAAAATACACGCGCCCGATCGCTCGACAAAGCCTGCGGGCCCGTTCGACGACTTTGTCCCTCTTGGCGGCGGCCACTGCCTCCTTCTTTGTTATCTACGTTTCTTCCTTCTCGATCCTCGTACCTATACCTTCCTACTTTCCTTTGTGCAATTATATCTGCCTATCGGTCGTAGCGGCTTTACGTCAGTCCCTTCGTGCGGGGATCGATCCGAGGGAGGTTATGTCGGCTCTGGGTTTGGGGGTCCGATGATTTTCATGGGAGCCGCTATAGCAATGAGTTACGGGATCGCGTTTATTAGCGATTTTGGCAAGTCACGTGACTGGTCGGTCACGTGGTACGTCTTGACGGGAGTTACATGGAAATTGGACTGTTTCTTGTTGCTCGACCGGGGTGTGGGGTTACGCTCTCGGGCGACGTATCCATGTAGCGGCTGTACGTCCTTTCTCACAGATACATCCTGGCGCCTTAAAGGATATCTGTCATGCTCCCGTCATTCTCAATGATTTTGCCGTGACAATGCCACCGCCAAAATTGTCTTTGACTGTGCGGCGAGCATGATCCGTTGTACCTTGGTCCGATTATTATTATTATTGGCTATCGGTCGGAAAAAGAAATTCGACAAAGAGATACAGTACGATTTTATTAATCACGCGATCCGAGACAATCCTTCGAAGTTTGTCTCGCGCCGGGTCATCTTCTTAGACGAGTCTGATGTCTTTGTCCGAAAAGTAACTGTCAAACTTGATATATGCGCGAGAGTGTACCGGTGAGTTGTACGTACGCGGCAGGGATAATGGTGCACGGTGTGCCGGACCCCTCCCAGATCACCAAGTACCAACACTAAACACTAAACACCGACAAGACACGACACGGCAGAACAGAACGGAGATGAGATACATCACGGGACGGGAGACGTATTATTAATGGTGACAGTGGGCGACTCAGGTTGGGCGGGGTGCACGATGCGGTCTCTCACCGATGTGGGCCTTACTGGCCCTCTTCTGCACTCGGTAACTCTCTCGTATACTCTTCTCCTTATATTATTAACGTACACTCGTTCTGTGTATACGATTGAATGCTCGTACCAGGTGGAGGGTCCTTCGATACTTTTGTACAGCGTAATCGGCGTGTCGATCGTACGTCAATTTTATCGTTTTCTTCACCTACGAACGTTCATTTCGGTAACCGCGAACAACACTGTGCGCTTCTCTTGTAGCGGGTGCTTTGAAATCTTATGGGTTGCGATTCTCTCGTCGGTCGTGGAGTTACGTTTGAATTCCTAAAGAGGCACGGCCTCGTTCTCTCCCTCGGGACATGTTTTCTCACTTATCCGCGTAGATACTTAGGAAAGGAGCCGATTACGCGCTCGAGGATCGTGGAGAGTTTGTACTGGGAGAGAGAGAGAGAGGGGGGGACGGTATTCGCATCCTGCGTCCGTACCTTGGAATTTCGAGATTTTTCTTCTGGTCCATTCTGAAAGTGTCACGTTCCACAGAGTCCTGACGGTGGTCGGGGGTAGGGGCAAGTCGAAATCATTTACGAATGCTGGTAAAGCTCTGGCATTCGGTCACGGTTGATCGTGGGGTTAGCGTGGCTGCCCGTGTAAATCGTCGTGGAATTATTAATTGGACGTGAACATGGAACAAGGTTTCTGATAATGTCGGCGCAAATGGCTTATAGAAGCGTAAGGATCTGTCGATGAGCCTCATCACGCTTCCGTGACCAAGGACGAGTATTGTCCTTTCCAAAGGTTGTTCCTGCAGCTTTCGGGGGACTCGTTCTCAAAATTTATTAGGATCGACAGCGCCTGAGAAATATTTGGACGATCAGCGGAGTCTGGTACAGAGATAATTATCTTAATCCTAGAAAAGCCTCCGAGGTCCTGTACCTTCTTGGGGG